AAAAAAGTACCCTTCCCCTCACTAGCCCAATCAGGTTCCCCCTAAAAGCCATCGGGCACTCTGGTCTATTTTGATTACCATTTTCATGCCTCAACACATTTGCCATAGTCCAATTTTCTATTCGCAGCTGTTAGCCATAAAGGAAGTGGTCTATTGCAATATAGTTTAAGTCGATCGCACTTTGCACCTACTATATCTCCGATTGACGTTCGTTTGGCGATTGATGGTCTTATGCTTTCTGCCCAAAATAAACCATATATCATGCCAATTGAATTTTCAACATCAACTAGAATCACTTTTGGCTTATGTCCATCATTGCAAACAGATTTATTGGCTGGAAAAACCGCAAAACAATTTGTTTTTACGTCTGTGCGACAAACTAAAATAAACACAATTTATTTAATGTTTCAAGTAAATTAATATTTATTAGAGTAAAAGAAAAATACGCAAGACAAAAAATAAAAAGGAAAATATTTTGTCAAAAGGAAAAAAAAAACTTAGCTCAAAGATAAACTTTAAGGCAAATTGGAAATACTTTTAGAATAAAAAAAGGGGTTTTTTTAAGCCCCAATGGTAATATTTTAATATTATAACTATTTCTATTTTAAGATAATAAAATACTTTAAGCAAAGCGAACAAATCCAGTTCAAAAGCAGAAATATCGCCCAGATTATTATCGCCAAATTATTGAAGGGAATCTTTGGATTCTATATATACAACATACATATATATTAAAAAATCTGAAAACTAGTTTACCATGATTATTTTAATATTGTTCTGGGCTAGTTCAGTTTGCGAATCGAACCAGCTTGCTGCATTTAGCTGCCCTGCGTGATCCTGGCTTATTACATTCATGAGTCCAGGTTTTGTTTATTTTATTTTCCAAATTTTAATGAAACAATTTTCATATTTCATTAACAACTGCCCGTTCTGCTGAAAATATTTTTAAAGTGAAATATGGTTAAACCGAATCCGATTCCTGAGGCCTTGACCATTTTGGCTAAATGTATTTCAAAAGATATTGCTGGACCAAAATGTGGTTCGATTCATATAAGACTGGTTTGTTTTAAGGCTCTCGAATCATTTAAAACTAGGGTTCGCTTCAAATAGTTGGGCTTGAATAAGAAATTGAACAAAGCGCAAACAAGAATTCGGGGACAAAAGGCTATACGAACAGTTTTTGGAAGGAACATTTAGCAAAGGATTGCATATCATAATGTACTTATAATCCTACAATAATATCATATTCAGATTTAAACATCGCCCTGGCATAGTCATAGTCAGACTATTCACATTCTGTTTTCTCCCATCGAGAATCTCTTCAAATCCTTCACTCATTTTGCATGCGACACGATTTGTGTTCTTTTTTTCCGTTTGTTTCCAATGTGTTGCAGGGTCCAGAACAAATACACGTCTCCAAGTTCTACAAGGAGTCCAAGAATGGCAAATTTGTATCCTACATCACAGAGAATGTGCGCACGTTGTACCAGACGTTCCGCGAAGGTGCCTACGCCTCCAACAATGGACCCTGCCTCGGCTGGCGGGAGACACTCACGTCGCCCTATCAGGTGCGTGCAGAATATCCAATCCCATGCTCCACACTCTTTGGCTAATGATTATCCCATCTTCCAGTGGATTAACTACGATGAGGCGCTGCTGCGCGCCAAGAACTTTGGCTCCGGGATGCTGGCATTGGGCGCACGGCCCAAGCAGCTGATCGGCATCTACTCACAGAACCGGCCAGAATGGATACTCTACGAGCAGGCATGCTACTCGTTCTCCCTGGTTGTGGTGCCTCTGTACGATACATTGGGTCCGGATGCCTGTGCCTTTATCATACGCCAGACGGAAATGTCCATTATAATTGTCGAGGACGACGCCAAGGCGTCCATGCTGCTGGAGAAGGCGCCACGCAGCCTGAAGATCATAGTTTCCATTAAGCCCATTCGCCAGACCACACTGGAGCGTGCGCGCAGTCGTGGCGTCCAGATCTTCTCTTTCATCGATGTGGAGAAACTAGGCGCTAAGGGCAACCATCCGGAGGTGCCGCCCACATCGGAGGATCTGTGCACGGTCTGCTATACCTCGGGCACCACCGGCAATCCCAAGGGCGTGATGCTCACACACGGCAACGTGGTGGCCGGCGTCTGTGCGGTGATACTGCAAATGGGTGACCATCGCATCCGGGCCGGAGATGTGATGATCTCCTTCCTGCCGCTGGCGCACATGTTCGAGCGCTGCTGCGAGAATGGCATCTACTATGTGGGCGGCTGTGTCGGGTTCTACTCCGGAGACATCAAGGAGCTGACCAACGACCTGAAGATGCTGAAGCCCACGGTTATGCCGGCTGTGCCGCGCCTGCTGAATCGAGTCTACGACAAGATACAGAACGATATATCTGCCTCGAGCCTGAAGCGCGGCCTCTTTAACATGGCACTCAAGGCCAAGGAGAAGGAGATCGCCCGCGGCGTGCTGCGTCGCAACGGCTGCTGGGACAAGCTCGTCTTCAAGAAGGTGCATCAGGCCTTCGGCGGCAATCTGCGTCTGATGGTGGTCGGCTCTGCGCCGCTGGCCGGCAACGTGCTGACCTTCATGCGCTGCGCCCTCGGCTGCCTGGTGCTGGAGGGCTACGGCCAGACGGAGTGCACGGGCGCCATAACGCTGACCGTGCAGGGCGACCATGTGCCCAATCATGTGGGTCCGCCCGTCTCCTGCAATGCCGTCAAGCTGGTCGATGTGCCCGAAATGGAGTACTTTGCCAATCAGAACACCGGCGAGGTCTGCGTGCGCGGCTCCAATGTGTTCCACGGGTAAGCTTCCAGTTATTCCAATTGTGGCAGTTACTTCTAATAAACGTGTGCAACTGCAGCTACTACAAGGATGCAGAGAAAACGGCCGAGGCCATCGATACCGAGGGCTGGCATCACACAGGCGACGTCGGCATGTGGCTGCCCAATGGAACACTGCGCATCATCGATCGGCGCAAGCACATCTTCAAGCTCAGCCAGGGCGAGTACATTGTGCCCGAGAAGATTGAGAATATCTACACATTGAGCCAATATGTCAACCAAGTCTATGTCTATGGCGAAAGCTTAAAGGTGAGTCCAACAGGGGTAAGCTCTAAGATTAGATATCAAAGTAAATGCAATCGAAATTACGAACTCATCAACATAACAGAAGGGTTGCTTCAGCTTTGTTAGTTTTGTTAATTTATCCAAGTTGTGAAAAGTCAACCTTACAAGATTATGACTAGATAGTTGCAAAGGGTTCAAGTTCACTCTTTTGTGGGTGAAAGATCAGTTTTCTAATTTAAAATACTTCAAGACTTGCCTTGCAAGGCACTACATGGAAATTTAATCAAAAAATGCCGTACTTAAATTTTGCAAAAGTGGAAAATGGGTGGAAATGAAATAAAATGAAAAAGTTCTTAAAATAATAGCAACTATTTGAAGAGAATGCTGATAAATTAAAGTGAAAAAGTGATTTAAATTTAAAATATAATTTGTTCAAACATTATTAAATTGTTATATGTAGAGCTGCATTATCGCTGTTGTTGTACCTGATGTCGATGTCCTGAAACAGTGGGCCACGGAAAACAATGTACGCGGCACATTATCCGTCCTGTGCAATAATAAGAATGTGAAGGAACTGATCATGAACGATATGCTCAACTGGGGCAAGCAAAGTGGACTAAAGTCATTCGAACAGGTGCTTAAGAATATATGCAAAATCGATCGATTTTAAATAAATAGATATTTAACATGTAAATTCATTGAAATTCAGGTCAAGGATATCTACATGCATCCCGATCCGTTTTCAGTGCAAAACGGACTCCTGACGCCCACATTCAAGGCCAAGCGGCCGCAGCTGAAGAGCTATTTCAAGCCCCAACTGGAAGATATGTATAAACATTTGGATTAAAGCAATAAACAAAACAAAAGTTAACCAAGAGCAACGAACAAACTAAACAGCATTCAAATTAAATAACAGCATTACTTTATGCCTAAACTGAACAGAACAAAGATTAACAAACAATACAATACAATATTTTGAATACCAAACAATAAGAAAAGAATAACAATAACAATATTTATTATAGTATTTTAAAACGAACAGCAGTCACATTTTTTAAAGTTCCGTCAATTCTTAGCATGTAAGCAGCGCAAGAGATATATGCATATATATATCATGATGATACAGATACGGATTCTTAACTGACAAACCACTTTTGGCAACAGCATTTTTCTATATAATTTAATCAATGACTAGCAGCTCTTATCAAAAAAAAAAAAAAAAAAAAAAAAAACAAAGTTAACTATTTCCTAACCCCTATGGTTCTTTATTTAGAATGCGAAAATGTTTCATATATTTAGCAGGAAATGCGTAGTCTGAACGAAAACATATACATTATTGACATATTGAGACAAATTTAAAAAAAAAAAAACAAAAACCAAAGCTTTAATTACCTAACACTCGTATACTACACTCAGCGTTAGTTAAAATAATGAAAAAAAAAACATTTTTAAAAATTATATACTATGCTAAATTATAAAAACAAGAAAAGAAGAAAACTAATACGTTAGGTAACTTAACATACACGCTTTAAGGAAAACTAAATTAAAAGTGAATTTCCAACTAAAAACAAATTCAGCGCAATTACTGAAAAATGAACAGCATACTATATATTTAAAGTAAATACTATTTGGACTGCACTGTCTGCCTTACAATTGATAGAAACCCGTAGTCGGACACAAAATCCAAAAAGTAAATCTCCATAAATATGCTCTAAACATAAACCGAACCCTATGCTAATAATAACATTTTCCTTACTTAGGTAAAAGAGAACTAAAGTACGCGAATTTATGCAATGAATTCAAGTTATAATTTTAAAATAAAGTAAACTAATAACAGCCAAGACTTAAATCCATAACGTTTTTCTGACAGCGCTGCCAGATGTCAAAATCAATGTTGGGCAACGCAAAAAAGACACACCACACACCGTTTTAAAAATGGTTCGTACAGTTTTTATTAAATCGAACAAAAATTACGTACATAGCCTTGCATTCAGTAAATTTATTTATTATATATTTATCGAGTTCGAATCGTGGCGAGAAGCTCTTGGAATGCAAAATCTTTTCAGACTTGAAGCTTTTCGCTTCCACAGTTTTTTAAATTTTAATTGCTAATTAATTTGTCTGTTGTTGCCTGCTAGATTGGTATTAAGCTTAGCTAATTCAGTATTTACCAAGTATGAAGGACATTAGTCTTAAATTTACTAAACAAAAGATTGACAGCGATCACAGCTCGCCGTGCACGTACTCGGGTGGAGGCGGTTCTGTGATGACAACCACATGCTCCTCCTCGTCATCTTCAGCATTATCCCTGTTGCTGCCAATATTGTGATTCTCATGATCCTCGATGCGTGCCAATAGTGCCTTCAGCTCCGCATCATAATCCTTCCACTCGGGCACAATGCGCTGAGCCGCCGTCAGTTTGGCCTCCTTGGTCTGCGGATTGTTGCACAGATCGATTACCTTGGCGCTCTTGAAGGAGCTATCACTGCACCAGGTCTGACACCACAGCCACTCGTCCGGCAGCGATTTGATGGCCACCTGATGTATCATATTGTTGGGCAAATCCTGATCCAGATTGGACAAACTATTTGGATCTTGACTGAGTGCCTGATACTGTCCACGCAGTCGATCACCGGCCGCGATCTTGCGGAATCGCTTCAAGTCCACCACATACAATGCAGAGATATGATAGCGCCTGCCCATCAGATGGCTTCGCCAATAACCCTGCTTCCAAAACCGAAAGCCTTCCATTTCCTTGCGCGAATCACAGAAGGGTGTGTATGCATAGGGCGCACCGCCCAGATCTAAATCGTAGAGCTCCTTAATATCGGTGCGCACAATCGCGTCCGCATCCACGAATATAATCTTGCGCACATTGAGCGGGAAGAGCACATCCAGGAAGAGTATCTTATAGCCCCAAATTGTGCGCTGTTTCTCCGTCTGCTGGTGCAGCCAACGCGGCCATTTGTATTGCACCAGCTCGTATTGGAAATTGTACTCCTTCGCCATGTGCGGCAAAAAGTCCGTGAATTGTGGCGACAAATAGTTCTTGAGGAACCAGAACTTCACCGGCGACTTGGTGTGCTTCAGCAGGGAGACCATCATGATGCGCAACAGACGCTCGTACAAATGTCCCGAGGCCACAGAGAATATGTTGATGGTTTCTGTATCCTCATCCGTGCCAGGCGTGCCGCTGTTTCCGCCAAAGCTGCTTGCAATGCTATTCCAAATGCCCGACTGCGAGGGCGCCGTGTCATCAGAGAGCAGCTCGGCGTGCTGCATGCCCGGCCGCTTGGATACGCGCAACTTGGTGACGTGGGAGCGCAGCGAGGTAATCAGCACCTGGACGGCGCCCGTCTGTTGCTGGTGCAGCGTGTTGGGCCCCTCCGCATGGCTGATGGCATAAATATCTGTGGATTTGCCGTCGCGCAGACGCAATGTCCAAGCGCCAGGATTGGCCTTCAACTGGAAGTAGCCCAAATTGGCCATCACAATGGTGTCCACCAGCGCGGGTTGCGATTTTGTGCCCAGCACCAGCTGCAAGCCCCGCGGCGGCGCACCGCTGGCCGCATCAAAGCAATGACCCTCCAGCAGCAGATACTCCAAGCCGAATTCACTGTGCACAGGGCCACCAATGTCGCGCAGCTTAATGTTATCCAGATCGTAGACAGCGCGCACCGCCTCCACCAGCCAGTTTTCGGGCACCTGCAGCTGCTGTGTCAGCAGCGGATTGGCGGGCAAGCCACTGAATTTCGCCAGCGGACCCTCGGCGCGTGCACCGTTCGCCTCGAACTGCACCTCAGATTCGATCACATAGCGGTAGAAATTCTTGACAGGCATATCGCTGTGCTGCGCCACAGGAGTCAGATACAAATGGAGCTGGCAGTTGAGCGTTTGCCGCAATAATATTAGAATCGGGGTGAGTTTCTGTGCCGCTCTCGAGGCAGGATCCAGCACGGCGACAATGTCAAAGTGGGGCTGCGTCTGCTGCTTGGCAGGCAGCTTGACGACCGAGTGGTCCGTCTTCAGATCGCTGGGCAGCTTGAAGCGCGTCTTGGTCTGTCGGGGCAGCAGGCTAGCATAGAGCTTGAGCAGCGTGTCGCTGTTGAAGTCGCTGTCCACCTCGGTGGCGGATTCCTTGAGCACCTCGCGTACCTTGTCGCCGTACTGCAAGTCGCTGTATCTTGCCAGCAGCGCAAAGTCGGCACTATCGAAGCTCTCGGCGGCGCCGAGCGGACCGTACAGCCGGCCGTTGCCAATCACCAGACGCTGCGACTTGGCCAGTCCCAGCACGCGCTGTGCATAGACGCGCAGCATCTTCAGATGCAGTTCCGTGCTTCCCAGTATGTCCTCCATCTGTTTGGGTATATCCTCGATGCGCTGCTTCTTTTGACGCAGCCATTTGAGCACCTGATCCGTTGCCTTCGCTGGCTCCAGCGAGTGCATGGCCGCCCAGGCCAAGCGATTGAGACTGCGCTTATCGCTCACACCCTCCGTGTTGGGAATAAATGCTAAACGTACGCTCTCACTGCTACGCACATAGTCCAGGGCGTGAGTGAGCAGCTCGCAGCCTTCGGGCGTCTCCAGGTCGGCAAAGACCCAAATTGTTAGGAACTGCAGCGAGGCGCGTCCAATGCGCTCGGTGCTCTGCTTGCCGCCAAAGTATTTCAGATTTGCCATCAGCGTGGCGGTCATGTCGCGATTCGAAAGCTTATTCAAAGCTGCCGCGTTGCCGAGCTGCTTGGCGGGCATGCCATTTATGTCCAAGTACTTGACATCCTCCTGGCTGAGTATGCGCTGGTTGAGACGCGGCATCACATGCGGCTGATTCATCAGGTAATTGATCATCTCATCGTTGTCGGTCAGTTCGCCGCGGTAAACCGACTTCTGCAGCGCCGTTGTCTGGCTCATGATTTCCGTGAAAATCGCCTCCTCGAAGTCACTGTCCGCACTGATGATATTGCTCGGCATAGGCGCGCCGTTGAGTAGCGCCTGCGGCTGACGCACTGCGCCAAAGCCCAAACGTTGCACAAATTCGGTGGCCAGTTGCCGTCCGTAATCGTAATCGGATTCCTCCCCAATCAATTCCTTGGCCTTTGTGCTGCTCAGTGAGCTGAATTCCTTGGTGAGCTGCTTGACAATGTGCTGCTTGGTGACGGTTTCCGTTTCGCCCACCGCCGCATAAATGTCCGTGAGAAAGCTGAGTGCGGCACGTGCATCCTTCTGCTGGCTCACATAGTTAAAGGCGCACGCAATGGCCACATAATCAGCAGCCGTTGCATCCTCCACAGCCCGAGCATCAAAGACTAGGCCTAGGCGTATTGGCGCCTGGTGTATAACAAAGGATTCAGCCAATTTGATGACGCTGCGCGCCTCCGGCTGCAGTGGATCCACAACCAGCACCAGGTTAAACACATTCTTGCGTATGTTGCGCAACATGCCGGGAAATGTGGGACGCAGCAAGTCCATAACTGATGGCGGCCAGCGTCTGTACTGGGCATCCTGTTCAATATCATTGATCCACTGGACTGCTGTGTCCCTGATATCGATCGCAAACTCACGCTTGTTGGCGCTATTCAAATCCAGGGCTAGCAACGCGCTGGCCAAGCGGCCGTGCACATTGTTGCCATGCAGACTCTCCAGTACGCGTATCTCGGAACGCAGCGTCTCCACCACCGTGTACAGGTCCATGGTGTCCGCATCAAAGAACAGGCCATTGATAAACAAAGCGCCGTCGGGCGGAGCCACGTTCAAGCTGCGTCCCAGCGATTCGGAATTGTGCTTAATCTCTGCGCGAAGTTCGTCGGACACTTTGTGGGCGAGCAGGGTGCGCGCCAGCATGGGAAAATTATGCGCCGTATACTGGAGTAACTGCAGCGCCTCATCGCCCTGTATCTCGGCTATGGCTGCGGCTGCCTGTAGACCCAAATCCTGGAACTCCCAAGCCTTGAGCTGCGCAATCTCGTCGTTGCCCTGCAGCAGACGCTGTCGCAGCTGATCCAAGGCACGCTTGAGCGTTGGATGCTTGGATTTCAGCAGCTTGAAGTCAAAGCCCTGTACGTCCGTTTCGTTAGTTGATTCTTCAGATTCGGCAGTGCTGCCGTTGCCAGCCTCCGGCTTGGGCGCATCATCCTGACTCTTGTACTCGGTGGACTTTAAATGTAACTCGACGCCGTAGCCGGACAAGCGTACGGGCCGTCCACTTCGCTCGGCTAGCTGATGGCGTAACAGGTAACGCACTTTGCCCGCATTCGCTGCCTTTTCCAGCAGCTTGTGATATGGACGAAATGCGGCACTGCCCAGATCTCCATAGAGCACCACGGTACGTGTATTGTTCTCACTGCCGGGATACACATGATCAAAGCTGTAGCTGCCAACCTCTGCATCCAAGCTGCTTGCAGCATGCGGCAGCTTCAGTTTTTGCTCCAGCTCCGCATAGGTGCAGGCAAGCTCTGTGCCCACTTGTGCGTATATGGCTCCCTGGCAGGCGCCCGCGGCTCGCAGCTCGTCGGCCAGTTGAAAGTGCGTCTGTATGCGAGGGGTCAAGCTGTGCATGGAGACGACCAGTTTCAGTAGTGGCAGCTGTGGCACACTCAAATGCGAACGCACAAGTTGCAAGGCGGCATTGTACTGTTTTGACTCCGTATCTGCAAGTTTACAGTAATTATAACATTACGAATACTTTATGTATTTAGCAATACTTTTCTTGTTTGCTCTGGACACTTAATTGTTTACACATTGACCACCTACCGTAATCGTTGAGCGCCGTGTCCAATGTCGTCACAGCCTGCACGTAATCCCAGAAAAGACCAGCCTGTTCATCCGCTAAATACTCGGCAATTTCTAAATATAGTGGCGTTTGCGTCCATTTGGCATTAATTAAAGTGGTAATTGGATAACTTTGACTGGACTCCGCAGCCTCCACCGAGACGGAAGCAGGCGAAAATATCGTCAACGTCCCCGCCGTCAGCAGCAACACACACACAAGACGTAACATTTTAGTTGTGCGTATATTTATAACTTTTTTTGTTACGTGCACATGACGCACTAATAACAAGTTATTGTGGAATTTAAAAGCACTAATTGCAATATTATTTCACTTTAGCTTTTGTACTCCACTATTTGTTAATTAAATTTAAGGCGAAAACTGATGTGGCGTTTTGCCGGCCGAAAAAGCGTTACCACCTTGTTACAAATGTGTGGTTCTGTTCTGAACCATTTGGTATTTTAGCTTCTTAATAAGTTCCCCTTTCCAGTTCTCCTCTCCTAGTAGTACATTAAAACTAATGTGGTTTCAGGAAATCATATTACTTTAATAACATATTTTTTTAATCAGCTAACTCAAATTAAGCAGCATATTTTGCGATTTAACTAAAATTCTCCAGAGTGACCAAATATGTTTAATAATTACAACGTTGCCAGCCTGTTAGTCACTTCAGCTGATCCCACTGCATTGTTTATAAACTAAAGCGCGCCCAAATTGCGATTTTGCAAAGGAATGAAGTGCACGCTGGAGGGGGGCAATGCGCGCAGTAAGTAAAATGCATTTGTTTATGTTATTATTTAAATATAACTCACAATATTCAACTAGTTGTTGCCAAAGCCATACAATCGCTGTCCAAAGTGGGCAAAGAGCTATTCATTGAAGCAGATATACATGGACTTCGCATGCGCTCCATCAATCCCACACAATCCGCTGTTGCCAGCATATGCTTCAACCGTTGCATGTTTGATACATTTCAACTGCCGCCCAGTGGAGATTGCTGTTGTAAAATAGCCATGAAGCCATGCCTTGGTGTATTTCGCAATATGAAACAGGTGAGTTTATGAGCAGAGACTTACTGTCTTCTAGTGCCAATGGAATGCTGCTTTTACAGGTTGAGCACTGCGAGCTGAGTATCGTGTGTAATCGGACTAAGTTCCAAGTCAATCTGCGCTGCAAGCTGGAGACCACGAAGCAGGCGCTCATTGCCATTGTGGATGAGCTAAATATTACGTCGGATGTTCCCACCGATCGGAGCTCTAACATGTAAAGTCATTTATTACTACCTACTAATTTGTAGTCATATCGCATATATTTTTATAGCATACGAGGCGATCATAAGTTACTCATGGAAATTTCAAATAGCTTCAATTCTTCCGAAGAGGAACTAACACTTGAGGCTACACCAGACAGTCTATCCGCCAAGAACTACATAGAAGGCGCTCGTGTCAATGACAAGTTCATGCGATCGCAACTAAAACTGAAGCCAAGCGAATTCGACCATTACCAGGTAGCCGAGGGGGCAGTCATTACATTTTGCATCAAGGAATTTCGCGCCTTTCTTCTTTTTGCTGAAGCACTGAATGCACAATTGACGCTGGAGTTTGAAGATGCGGGCAGTCCATTCTTTGTTAAGATTAAGAAACACCGCGAAATTGAATGCTTGCTGATTTTATCAACTCTATCTCCCGATGATGTTAGCTTCTCGGAGGATTACCGTCCGCGCGAGATTAGCATGTGTAATCTTACCAATGTAGCTCAAAAGCGAAAGAGCAGTGGACCTGGACAAGATGTACAGCAGAAACGCCGATTGGCAGAAGATACAACTCTCTCGGATGTAGACACGGCGCTGTTTCAGTTTCGCGAGCATCGACCGGAGCGGCCATCCGAGGCACCTTCGGTGCAACCCGCGCGACTGCTGGCCGATGGTGATACCGTGGATCTGGTTGAAGAAGAAGCCGACGAGGAGGCGCTACTGCTTGCAGTTTCAGATGCTATGGAAGCAAGCCAGATACCGCCGCCTGGCAGCACAGAAGTGTGCTTCTACAATACAGAGGACGCGCCGCCCACACTAATTCCACCACAAATGGAGCATAACGACGATGAGGAGGATGAAAGTATACCGCAGTCCCCGGAGCGGGAGCGCGAACAAAGAGTGCGCACAATATTCTCGCGCTGTTTCCAAAACACTTACGTGCCGCGTGAGCCATCGCCCAATAGTCAAGTGTATGCGCCCAACTCGGATACGGAGGATTAGCCTAGTTTGTTCGTTTATTAATAAAAGGCTGTAAAAACTTATGCGTTTGCAATACTGCCTCAGTTCCTCGCCTCCTTCAGATGGATAACGGGCAAAAAGCTGCTCGTTAACGCCGACGCAGCACGGATCTGCAGCTGTGCGGTATTTTTTTGTGCCTGCTGCAGCGCAGTGTGAGCTGATTGCAAGGAGACCTGGGATTTGATAAGCATTTGGTCTGTGGTTAGCAGCTGCTTGGAGGCGTTCACCACAAAGTTGCGTGTGAGGAGAGTTAGTGCCTTCCAAATCTCAATGTTGTTCTCGACTGAAGTGAAATGGACGAAATGATTAGAATCAAATCTATGGGAACACCAAAAGGGTGACACGTACTCAGTTTGCGTTGCAGCAGATTGTTGCGATATATGGAGGCGGTTGCACTGGCGCTGCTTGGCTGCTCGTAGATGTCTTCGTCTTCTTCCTCGGTTGCCTCGCCAGAAACTTCGGCTGCGTATATCTGCAACGAATTTGCTTATGACAGATTCTTTATTTTATTTGTCAAATGTAAATGCCTTGTGTTTCTCCTGCTCCTCATCCGATTCAGACGCTTCGCCACGCACTAAATCTGCCATAGTTTTGTTTATATTACTTTACCAAATCATCAACAACTAAAATACCTGTTGCAATCGAATTGTCAACTTTACCGTCTGTGTCCATAAATCGATTAACATATCGGCAAGCAGATAAAAATATCGATTGTATTCGAGGACAATCGGCAGATTTCTTTTACCCTAGTAATTTTCATTTGTTTTAAACAAAAGATATTTATAAAACTAACTTCATATTTATGGATAGGATTTACCATATATTTACGTTTATTCTTACCACATGCAGACCAGGCTTACTCATCAACATAAATTTAGATAAAATGCTGACTAAGCCTGCGGACATTGAAAATAACATACTTTTTAGACATAATTGAAAAATTTGCACTACATTTTTTATTTATGTTGAAAATTTGTAAACTAAAACCGGTTTATTCGAAGAATTTCTGCAGAGTTCCCAGTTCGTACATTCGCTTAATGTCTGTGCCGCCACCCACAAATTTGCCATTTATAAACACGCGAGGAACCTGTGGAGGGCAAAAGTTGAAAATAACGATAAGAAACCAATAAAATTATGATTCATTTGTGGACTTGCCGTGCGAGCACCAGTCATCTCGCCCAGAACAGATTGAATTTCATTGCCATCCTTACGTCCATCCAGCTCTACTATCATTGCATTAACATTCAGTTTTCGGAATGGCTGAAAATTTGTAAATTAATATAAGAGCATATCCTAAACGACCGCTCGTTATCCTTACCTCCTTGGCCATTGTGCAATAGGGACAATAAGTTTTACTAAATATTGCAACCTTGTTTTTAGCAATTGTATCACGAACAAATTGAGCCTCAACGGAGTCCATGTTTACTGGAGGTTTTTTAGGTTTACTGGAAAAATCCAAGAACGGAAAGGGAAACTTTTTTGATGCTATTGATGAGGCGCGGAAGTGTAGCCTATTGATGGATTTATAACGGTTGCTACGAAAACTATAAATTTGGCGTCAGAGGTTAATATGAATAACTTTGTAATAACAACGCATTTCTACATGTCAATCGCATGTAGTTGCCAGATAACTCAGAGATGCATAACTTACGATTTACATATAGCAGAGGACATAATTAATATATTTAAATATTGTTGGCATTTAAATACACTCTATCAATTCGTAATATTTTATAGTTCCAAATTTGAGCCACACCACATAAATATTTTTCAAGTTTATTTTCAAAGCAATTCTGTAATAGTCTGGCATCCCTATTCAAATACACCGCCGCTGTTTAATAACTTGATAAAGCCGCTCAGCTCAGGCTCTGCAATCTAAATTGTCGAATATTTTGTAACTAATGTCACAACGGAAGTATATGCAATTTCATAATTTAGCCATTTGTGGTATGTGTTATATTTGTTGCATTGGACGTTATCGGCAGCACCGAGGGTTACTCAGTTGGTTGCGTTCGATATTATCGGCCACGCCGATATCTTTTTGTCATATGGTCGGAGTATGCGGGGTGAAGCTGGGCCCACGGCGGAGCCCAAAATTTTGAAGGGTGGCAACGCCAGACATGCGATCCACGGCACCAAAAGCGACGATTGCTATTGGCCGCCCGGTTCGCTCTTAAAGGGAATACGAGGAGAGTGGATCGCATGCCCTTGGATATGCCCTTGGCCTTCATTTGGGCCGTTGACCCAAAAAAATGCAGCTGTGCAGATGAGCAGCAACGGTGCCCGCCTCGCAAATGTATGCGTGTGCCGAAATTCGGCACCGATGGTGTGGCTGCCCAAAATGTCGGGGAGTTCGATTTGTTCAGCGGTTAACGGCGGGCGTGCCAGCTCGAAGTGAGATAAAAGTTGGACATTTCTGCTCGACAGAGTAAAGTTTTTTCCCTTCTGAAAAATTAAGCCGGCACATAGTACCAATGGCTTAACAGACGAATAAAAGTTTTGTTTTGTGTTCTTTGCCATGTAATAAATATATATAAATCAAACCGCTCGAGTCACAAAGAAAAATATAAAAAAAAAATTAAAAGAGACTTAAAACTTAAGTGCGACGAGAGACGGACCAGATAAGCCAAAAATTAACGGCTCCGGCACCAAGGAAACCAGCTCGCGCACCAGAGAGGCCCACGAAATATTCAAGGCCAAGATTCAGTGCAGCGGCGCAAACCAGCCATATCCGCGACGCCGCCAGCAAGCGTCGGCGCAAACCTGAAGGCGACGAGACGAGCCACCAACGACCGGGCTCCAACAACAAAGAAGCGGCCACAGGCGAGACCCCGCCCACATCCACCGAGTGAGTCCGTTCCATATCTTTGCCCATCCTCGTTCGAGCCCCTGGCAGAGTCAGAAGAAGACTCCTAATTGCACTCCCTGAAAAGGAATAGATTTTTTTTTTATCGTTAAATTTAGTAAATTTGTATTTATGAAATATATTTATACATACATAGGCACTTACGCCGAGCTTCACTTTAGAGTGCGAACGGTGGGGGGAAAACTCCAAAGGTGATGCATCTGCGCCTGTAAAATATAAAAATCTAAAATTAACACTTGCGCGAACTATGCTCACATACTTACCCAATTTGAATTTACGCATTTATATCGCCCCTTACCACCCCCAGAGAGCTCTTTAGGTAGGGTAAGGTAGAATTAAGCGATTTAATACATACAATACACAATACGTGACATACCCAGTTTTAAGTAATTGTGTGGGCCATTGTTCCTAAATCGGCGCAACGATTGCCTCTAAAGTGCCTCATTGCGCGTTTCTTTTGCGGCGACTAGCAATATCCTTGTAGTGTTTCGTCGCCTGTTCCATTCAGTGTTGTAAAAAAAAAAAAAAAAAAAAAAAAATTTAATTCTATAAGAGAAAAATTTAGGAATTAAGGCGCTTTGTCAATTAGTATAAATATATGCAGCAGTAATACGCACCTGTGAAGTTAATGAATTATCCGCTTGCATGAGATCCTAAACAGCTGCAAGATAAATGCCATAAGCAATGATTATGATTGTTATACATTTTAAGAAAACGCAACCAATTATACGCACCTATTGAAAGAAATCATGTCCGGCTAAAATAATATTGCTGGGGAGAGTGGGCATTATGGCCGACACGGGCTAATATAGGCCATTTAGTGGCCAAAACGAGGGAGACGAGTGGAGGTGATCGTCTCATGGCAGGGCGGGTACGCTGGGTCCGGAACCGGGGCCCGATCTGGAAGAGTAAGGTGGATAAATAGTGTTTTTTTGTTAATTTATATTGAGTGTCTTACCTTTGTTGTTTACATTTTCATAGTTGTTACAGCTGTGTATTTTGTTCATGAGTTAGTAGTTCCGAATATTTGTTATCGATTATGCGGTTCATTTTGAGTAGTGTTGTGTGAGTCTGTTTTGCTACAGACGTGTAGCTTTGTTGTTATCGATTGTGCGGACTGCGGGCCAGGGATGGGACCACACCCAGAGAATCCGATGAGCCAGCCGGCGCGGCCCACTGAGAAACAAGCAGTTCCGTAACAATATGGCGCCCAATTTGAAGAAGCACTCGGCTTCTTTGAAGTCGGTGTGTAATCAAAGAAAAATAAATACGATAAAAATGAAGGTACAGAGGAAAGGACTCCCTTGGCTTCAGGACCCACACCGCTGAAGTCTTATGTGGCACGAGTAGGTAGCTCATAATCGCGCAGCGTGTAGTGGAATCCGAGAAGCACGACGGAAGTAGAGGTTATCTGAATATCCATCCATAAGCATGAGGGGTTTTTTTTGTAGTGGTTGGTGGCCGTTCGCATGTTGGCGAAACATTTGCGACTATCCATCGTTCGCCTGGTGGTAGCCGCAACGACAAAGGCATCTCATGGTTAAAAAAAAAATGTGATATTAGGGTAGTTTAGTCAGATGTTATTTATTCAATTAGTAGTTTTTGTCTCATTTTGTGTCAATGTTGGATGTATGCTGGCCGTAGTTATACGAGCTTCGGAGACAGGTGACCCAGGACGTTATAGAGCCGAGCCTGCGCCGCATCTGTCACACAGCATATCCCAAGAATGGCCAGAAGAGCGACGGAGACGGATCTTGCCATGGTGTCCATTGACATGGGGAGTTTTCTTGTCGCGGTTGATGACGGTAAGTCACGTTTGCTAGTTGGTGAACGTTCGCGACCGTCCATCGTAGCCTGGTGGTAGCCGCCATGACAAAATAACCTGTGACAAAATGTGATATTAGGGTAGGTCTGACTAGAGTTTGTTTAATGTTTTCTATTTGTTTTGTCCCACTCTGTGTTAACGTTTGGTGTGTGCTGGCCGTAGTTAAATGAGCTTCGGAGGCAGGTGACCCAGGACGATATAGAGCCGATCCTGCGCCGCACCTGTCACACAGCATACCTTAAGGGTGCACAGAAGTGCGACAGAAACCAAATAGCCTTCAAGGTAGCGTTCCTTGCATGCCGTTCGTCAGTCAAACTGACGAACTGAGCATGGGACGAATGCTAAAGTGTTGTCCACTGTCCAGATTATGCGTAGATTATTTAGCCTGTGTTAGGATTTGTCTTCTCTCCCCCAAGTATTTGAAGTTAATTAGAAAGAAAAAAAATTTAATTTTGTGAGTGTTTTTGTGGTCGATGTGTATTAATTTATTATTCTTTATTAGTAAGATTTGTTAGTGGGTGTTTATTTATTTATTAATTTATTAGAAATATTAGTAAAGTTTTTATAAGGGTTGTAAGCCTTGTAGAAGAGAGGGGTACTGTTCTCAGAAGGGATAAGTATGGCTGAGGAACAGGTGTCTGATTGGGCTTCTGACGCTGATGGGGCGTCGGCTCTGCCACCGCCGCGCCCAGCTGGAGGGCTGGTGCGAACGCCAATGAATTTCCGGGGATTTCCAGAGAGACAGATCCCGAAAGAGGGTCACCTGGTAGACTTGGAGAAAGAATTGGCGCAACAGGATAGACCTCCACGGAACCTGGAGTTCCCAAAAGCCCCGAAAGACTCAGTGCTCAAATCGGCGGCAAACGCGGCGATCGCTCAGGCCCACCAAACATATCTGCATGCTCTGCCATCTGGCATCAGCGAGTCCATCCGCGAGGAGATGCGAGCTGGCTTCATGGAAATGATGAAGGGCATCATTGATGTGCTTAGGCCGCCAGGGAGCCAAACCGCCGAGACTAACACTGCGCCGAAGCCGCCCAGACATGTCGAGCCGGGACCGCGAACAGGCGCCATCCCGAAAGAACGGGAAGTGTTCCAGCGCGAGGCATTTCCACCACCGGTGCCACCGAAGCCACGTAGACAAGGCGCACGAGGGGCGGAGTATTCGTCCAGCAGCCCGGTTTACGTGGCAGATGCTCAGTCGAGGAACTGGCGTAACCCGAATAACCGCCATTTCCGAGTAGAGGACCGGAGAGCGGATGATTTTCAACCGGAGGAGGCGTACGCCAACGTGCGAGAAACTGCGTACATGAAGCTCGAGCGGTGGAACGTCAAGTTTGACGGCGAGGACGCGATGAATTCGGTCGAGGACTTCGTGTTCCGCCTAGAGTTCCTGCAGAGGCAGTATCAGTGCCCGTGGAAGGAGGTCCTGCGCGGTTTCCACCTGCTCCTGACCGGCCGCGCCCGCGAGTGGTACTGGATGCACGTGCGGCATTCTAGGGTCGACAGCTGGATGCAACTGCGGCATGCCCTCTTGGACAGGTTCCGGGGCTACCAGACGGAACACGAGGTAATGCAGGAGCTTCTACAACGAGAGCAAGAGGCCAGCGAAGGGGTGGATGATTATATCCACCACATGCGTCAACTCGCCGCGCGATTCCAGAAGCCGCTGAGAGACCGAGAGCTGGTGAGGATTATAAAGCGTGGTTTAAAAGAAAGTCTGGCGAAATATATTTATGCCATGGACGTACTCACCGTGGATGAGCTGCGCCAAGAGTGCCTAGAAGTGGAGAGGCACATGGGTCGCAGAAGCCGGACTGGGTACCTTCAGCCGTCGCGTTGTCCACAAGGAACGAGGCCCGTAGTCCACTAGGTTGAAGTTCCACCGCATCTTACAGAAACGCCACCGGGAGAACTGGAGGAGGCATTCGTGCGAAGCAGGAACTCATCCCGAATTGTATGCTGGAACTGCAGACAGTTCGACCACGTCTTTAGAGACTGCCTGTCCAAGGAGCGAAAAATATTCTGCTATAGGTGTGGAAAGCCGGACACTTTCTGCTCGCAGTGTGAAAACTGTCCGGGAAACCCCAGAGGGAGCGCGGTGATGGCGGGACAGACGCGTTCCGGGACGGCGACCGCGGGAAAGCAGGAGAGGGGCACCTACCAGAGCCAATAATCATTGGAAAGGAGACGGAGATTTGGAATAAGGATCAGGATAAGGCTAATCATAATAATAGTATAAGCAAAGGAGGAACACTTAGGGGCTTACCATACGAAGAACGTGTTCGGGCATACATGTCGGCCCGAAATAGAATTTTTGGTGAGCGACAGCTGGAGGGGATGACGCTAGCCACCCGGAGAATGGTGAAGGCACGTGCGCGCTTCCGCAGACGCAGGATTACCAGGCGCCAGGTCGTCGAAGCGGTGAGACGGGAGGAGAGTATAGACCCACGAGTATTCGCCGAAGTGGAGGTCGCTGGGGCCAAAATGAAAGGGTTGCTGGACACGGGGGCCTCCGTCAGTCTGTTGGGACAAGGATGCCGGGAGTTAGTGGAGAAACTGGGATGGGAAGCGCGGCCATACGAATCGATGGTGAGGACAGCGGCGGGTGCCAATCGCCCAATTTTAGGTCGCGTTGTTCTGCCTGTGAAATACGGGAATAGAACGGAAAATATCGTATTTTACATGTGCCCGGACCTGCGACAGGAACTATACCTGGGAATCGACTTCTGGCGAGCCTTTGAGATCGCACCAGAGCTGCTCGGTCCGGCCAGAAAGTCCGAAACACCACCAGAGGCATCTGAGGTAACGGTAGCGAACCCAGAGGTGGCTTATTACCGGGACGACGACGACTGCGTGACGGATCCGGGAATGTGGGACCTGGACAACGATCAGAGGAGTCAGTTGGAAAGCGTGAAGCGCAGATTTCTCCAATTTGAGAAGGATGGCCTAGGGAAAACTCACCTGCTGCAGCACCGAATTCAGCTGATCGAGGGAGCAGAACCCGTGAAAGACAGACATTATCCGCTGTCCCCGGCCAAACAAGAGATCGTGTGGGCCGAGGTGGATAAGATGCTAAAGTTGGGCATCATCGAGGAGAGTGACAGCCCCTGGAGCAACCGGACGACGGTGGTGATGAGGCCTGGGAAGAACAGGTTTTGCTTAGACGCCAGGAAATTAAACAGTGTAACGGTAAAAGACGCTTACCCGCTTCCATGCATCGAGGGCATCCTATCGCGAATCGACGAGACTCATTTCATCTCTAGCGTCGACCTTAAGTTCGCGTTCTGGCAAATAGAGATGGAGGAGAAGAGCAGGGCGTATACGGCGTTTACTGTACCAGGGAGGCCGCTGTACCAGTTCCGCCACATGCCATTCGGGCTCTGCAACGCCGCTCAACAACTTTGCAGGCTCATGGACAAGGTAATCCCGGCGAATTTGAGGTCCAACGTATTCGTATACCTAGACGACTTGCTGATAATATCGGCAGATTTTCCAACGCACTTAAAATACTTGGAATTGGTGGCCGAGTGTCTGAGGAACGCGAACCTCACCATAGGCATGGCGAAGTCGAAATTCTGCTTCCGCAACCTAAACTACCTGGGTTTCATCATAGGCGGCGGGACGCTGCGCATGGATCCGGGAAGGGTAGAAGCGATCCGGAACATCCCGAATCCGAGGACGGTCAAGGAACTACGAAGCTTCTTAGGTACGGCGGGGTGGTACCGCCGATTCATAAAGAACTTCGCTGAGATATCGGTACCGTTGACTGATGCCCTTAAGAAGAGAACGGGTAGATTTGTGTTGAGCGACGAGGCCATAGAAGCCATAGAAAGCTTGAAGTTAGCCCTCACCACAGCCCCGGTGTTAGTTCACGCGGATTTTCGAAGACCATTCTTCATCCAATGCGACGCATCTCACTACGGAGTAGGAGCCGTGTTGTTCCAGCTAGACGACGAACAACAGGAAAGGCCGATCGCATTCTTCTCGGCCAAACTCAACAAGCACCAGATCAACTATTCGGTGACCGAGAAGGAATGCCTAGCCGCCAAACTGGCCATACATCGATTCCGGCCGTACGTGGAGATGATGCCGTTCACGGTAATCACCGATCATGCGAGTCTGCAGTGGCTTATGAGTCTCAAAGACTTGAGCGGGAGATTAGCCAGGTGGTCCCTAGAACTGCAAGCGTTCCCTTTCTCCATGCAGTACCGCAAGGGAGCCGACAACGTCGTCGCAGACACATTGTCCCGAAGCGTGGAAGAGGTCGAACTGACCCCGGAAGATCTGTTGGGATTTCAGACCCCGGAGTTCGAGAGCACCGAATATCGAGAGCTGATAAGAGAGGTGATGAGCCAACAAGGGAAGTTGCCGGACCTTAGAGTGCAGGACGGACTTCTGTTCAAGAGGACCGTGCACGAGAGCTTGGAGGATGAGGTCGAAGGCACCAGTTGGAAGCTCTGGGTGCCGGAGTCGCTGACGGCAGGACTTATCCAACAAGCACACGCGGACGAGACGTCAGCTCATGGAGGCATGAGGAAAACGCTGCACGCGCTGCGCAGGCGATATTATTGGCCCAACATGGCCATACAAGTCAGGGACTATGTTCGGAAATGCGATACATGCAAGGAGACCAAGGCACAGAACTACCGAATGCAGGTCGGAATTGGGGAAGAAGTGCGCACCGACCGCCCCTTCCAGAAGCTATATATCGACTTCTTGGGGAAGTATCCACGGTCGAAACGAGGGCACGCGTGGATATTCGTCGTCGTAGACCACTTCTCGAAGTTTACCTTCCTGAAGGCCATGAGGGAAGCCACCGCGGCGGATGTCGTGAACTTCCTAGTGCATGAGGTGTTCTTCAAATTTGGCGTGCCGGAAGTGATCCATTCGGATAATGGACGACAATTCGTGTCAAAGTCGTTCGATGCGATGGTCCAGGCGTTTGGCATTACTCACCTGCGCACACCAGTGTATTCGCCTCAGAGCAACGCCGCCGAACGCGTGAACCGCACAGTGCTGTCGGCAATCCGAACCTACCTGGGTCAGGATCATCGGGAATGGGACGCGTACCTACCAGAGGTGGAAGTGGCGATCCGGAATGCGGTCCACAGCGCTACGGGAGTCACTCCGTTCTTCGCGGTCTTTGGACAGCAGATGTACCTGAATGGTTCCAGTTACAAACTGGCCAGGAAGCTGAGATCATTGGCCGACCACAGTATTTCTGACCTTGACGCAAAGGACAGACTGGCTGTAATCCGAAGCCAAGTCAAGGACCACCTGCACACCGCATACGAGCGAAGCCGCCAACGGTACGACCACCGCGCGCGACAGCTCCATCTGGAACCGGGACAGGAAGTGTGGAGGCGCAACTTCGCACTAAGCAGCTTCGGCAAAGCCTTCAATGCCAAGTTCGCCCGGAAGTTCTTGAAGAGCCGCGTCGTCCGAGCCGTGGGAACCAACGCCTACGAGTTGGAGGATCTCCAGGGACGCGTGCTAGGCGTCTTCCACGCAAAAGATATACGAACATAATCGTAATTTGCTCACCTCCTTGCCAGGCAACGGCGGCGGCAGCGCCAGTCCCCCCTTTTTTTTGGGTCAGCAAAAAAAAAAAAAAATATAGATTACTTGTCGTGGGTGTGGCCTACGTTGGGCATCGTTATTAGCCGGCTGGGTCAATCCATGAAATGCGCACGCAGATTCCTTGTAACTGTCCTTCATGTCGTTACAATAATCTGCGTGGTGATGTTGCATTGGACGTTATCGGCAGCACCGAGGGTTACTCAGTTGGTTGCGTTCGATATTATCGGCCACGCCGATATCTTTTTGTCATATGGTCGGAGTATGCGGGGTGAGCTGGGCCCACGGCGGAGCCCAAAATTTTGAAGGGTGGCAACGCCAGACATGCGATCCACGGCGCCAAAAGCGACGATTGCTATTGGCCGCCCGGTTCGCTCTTAAAGGGAATACGAGGAGAGTGGATCGCATGCCCTTGGATATGCCCTTGGCCTTCATTTGGGCCGTTGACCCAAAAAAATGCAGCTGTGCAGATGAGCAGCAACGGTGCCCGCCTCGCAAATGTATGCGTGTGCCGAAATTCGGCACCGATGGTGTGGCTGCCCAAAATGTCGGGGAGTTCGATTTGTTCAGCGGTTAACGGCGGGCGTGCCAGCTCGAAGTGAGATAAAAGTTGGACATTTCTGCTCGACAGAGTAAAGTTTTTTCCCTTCTGAAAAATTAAGCCGGCACATAGTACCAATGGCTTAACAGACGAATAAAAGTTTTGTTTTGTGTTCTTTGCCATGTAATAAATATATATAAATCAAACCGCTCGAGTCACAAAGAAAAATATAAAAAAAAAATTAAAAGAGACTTAAAACTTAAGTGCGACGAGAGACGGACCAGATAAGCCAAAAATTAACGGCTCCGGCACCAAGGAAACCAGCTCACGCACCAGAGAGGCCCACGAAATATTCAAGGCCAAGATTCAGTGCAGCGGCGCAAACCAGCCATATCCGCGACGCCGCCAGCAAGCGTCGGCGCAAACCTGAAGGCGACGAGACGAGCCACCAACGACCGGGCTCCAACAACAAAGAAGCGGCCACAGGCGAGACCCCGCCCACATCCACCGAGTGAGTCCGTTCCATATCTTTGCCCATCCTCGTTCGAGCCCCTGGCAGAGTCAGAAGAAGACTCCTAATTGCACTCCCTGAAAAGGAATAGATTTTTTTTTTATCGTTAAATTTAGTAAATTTGTATTTATGAAATATATTTATACATACATAGGCACTTACGCCGAGCTTCACTTTATAGTGCGAACGGTGGGGGAAAACTCCAAAGGTGATGCATCTGCGCCTGTAAAATATAAAAATCTAAAATTAACACTTGCGCGAACTATGCTCACATACTTACCCAATTTGAATTTACGCATTTATATCGCCCCTTACCACCCCCAGAGAGCTCTTTAGGTAGGGTAAGGTAGAATTAAGCGATTTAATACATACAATACACAATACGTGACATACCCAGTTTTAAGTAATTGTGTGGGCCATTGTTCCTAAATCGGCGCAACGATTGCCTCTAAAGTGCCTCATTGCGCGTTTCTTTTGCGGCGACTAGCAATATCCTTGTAGTGTTTCGTCGCCTGTTCCATTCAGTGTTGTAAAAAAAAAAAAAAAAAAAAAAAAAATTTAATTCTATAAGAGAAAAATTTAGGAATTAAGGCGCTTTGTCAATTAGTATAAATATATGCAGCAGTAATACGCACCTGTGAAGTTAATGAATTATCCGCTTGCATGAGATCCTAAACAGCTGCAAGATAAATGCCATAAGCAATGATTATGATTGTTATACATTTTAAGAAAACGCAACCAATTATACGCACCTATTGAAAGAAATCATGTCCGGCTAAAATAATATTGCTGGGGAGAGTGGGCATTATGGCCGACACGGGCTAATATAGGCCATTTAGTGGCCAAAACGAGGGAGACGAGTGGAGGTGATCGTCTCATGGCAGGGCGGGTACGCTGGGTCCGGAACCGGGGCCCGATCTGGAAGAGTAAGGTGGATAAATAGTGTTTTTTTGTTAATTTATATTGAGTGTCTTACCTTTGTTGTTTACATTTTCATAGTTGTTACAGCTGTGTATTTTGTTCATGAGTTAGTAGTTCCGAATATTTGTTATCGATTATGCGGTTCATTTTGAGTAGTGTTGTGTGAGTCTGTTTTGCTACAGACGTGTAGCTTTGTTGTTATCGATTGTGCGGACTGCGGGCCAGGGATGGGACCACACCCAGAGAATCCGATGAGCCAGCCGGCGCGGCCCACTGAGAAACAAGCAGTTCCGTAACATATTAATATAATTTAATAGGAATACCCATAACATTCGGTTTATTTGTGGGCAGTGCTGCCACTCAACTTTATCAACCGGCTGATCCTATTCGCGTATAATGTGGCAACTTTGAATCTTCTTGAACGGAAAATCAATTTTTTTTCTAAATGAGTGCCACAATGGAACACAAAGGGCGACTGTTGCTGAAGAACTTTAGTTAAAAACGCAAAAAGCCATGCCCAGCAGTCTTTTGTTCGCTACAAGCAGCGAGGGACGCGTGCATACGCTGTCCACTAGCTCAAGTGGATGGCGCGAGTTTCCGTATCTCGGTCTGGAGTTCAAGAAAATCAGCGCAGTCCCAAATTATATGTGGGCCATTGGCGGTGATCGGCAGGTGTACGTTCATGTTCATGGACTTGATGTGCCGATACGCGTCAAGGAGGAGTCTTACGAGAACGAGCGCTGGCTGCCCATCGAGGGATTTGCGAAAACGCTGTTGCCCACCGACCGTTATAAATACTCAAACGCTGATGGAAGCATTGAGAGAAGCGTAGACAAAATACGTCTGCCCTCCATGGCCTGGCAGTGGGACGGTGATTGGCATCTGGACCTCGAGCTGGACGGTCAACAGCTGGCCGAAGATGGCTGGATGTACGCACTGGATTTCCCAGCCACGTATTCAGCGAAAAAGTCCTGGAATTCGTATGTGCGGAGGCGAAAATGGATCCGTTTTCGCCGCTATGCTGCCCTTAACAGCTGGTGCGCCGTCGCACCCCTGCACAAGGACCCTACACAGGAGCCCTTCATCGATGTGGCCATAGGCGGTACACATGTGCCCAATGCTAGAGCCGGCACGCTTTGTGTCTGGGCCATAACCGCCCATGGCAGGGCCATGTTTCGCACTGGAGTCACAGCCTTCGCACCGGAGGGTTTACGCTGGACTGCTATTAACACTCCCACCGGCAGCGAACTGGCACAGATAAGCGTAGGACCAACGGGTCTGGTCTGGGCGGTGCTCTACAATGGGCGTGTCATTGTGCGTACGGGCATAACGCGCGATAATCTATCGGGCGAGGGGTGGCTGGACGTCAAGTCACCAGTTGCCACGAGTGCACCAACGGACACGCCACGTGGTCTGCGCATCGTACAGATTTCGGTGGGCACAGATGCGGTCTGGTGTATTACAAACGATAACCATGCCTGGTTTCGACGTGGCATTAAGGGAGATGCAGCGGGCATCAGCGAGGATGCCGCCATAGGCAGAGGCTGGGTGGAAATGGTTGGAAATCTCTCGATGATCTCTGTGGCACCCAATGATCAGGTACAAATATTTTATTTACCTATATTAACCATTTGATAAAGCAATTTCTTTGATAATCAACAGGTGTTCGCGATTGGCGCTGCAGACCGCGCTATTTACTACCGATCTGGCGTTAGCGCCGCCGATCCCACCGGCAAAAAATGGATGAAGATCCAATGCCCAATGCAAATCAGTCGCTCCTCCAGTTCCTTGTCAATAGTTTCACGCAAAAGTGGCGGCAGCAGCTCAACGCCCGGCTCCAAGCATCAAAGCTTCTCCAATCTCTACTCAAAGGAGAAGGAAAAGGGCGTCGTGGAAACGTGTGCAGTCATCGAAACCGTCACCACGCACAGCAACGGCTCCTCGAACAACGGCCTGAACAGTCGTTTGAAAAATGAGCGCTGGAAGCTGAACGCCGACTCACCGCCCACCATTGGCAGTCTCAATCTGAACGAGCGTCAGAAGCATCGGGCCACAGCATTGCGCGAACCCTTGGCGCACGCCTCCAGTGCGCCGGCCGCTGAGGTTGCGGAGATCAGCGGCAAATTTGAGACGCAGCTGAAAAATCCGCGTGCCTGGTCGCCGGTGCGTAGTGTTGGATCTGTTGTTGGCACCGAAGCTCATCCGGAGAGTGATTCGGCTGTCTTTGAGTCGGAATCTGCACACGGCTCCGATGCGTTCCTTGGCGAAGACGACGATCACAATGGCTCGCAATTTTGGACTGAGTGTGCGGTCATGTGGAGCTGTGTGACCACGGGCGCCGTCACTGTGGATGCCAACAACATTCCAAACTGGTTTAACGAGCATCACAATGATGGTGGCGCCGATGCGAATCCCAATTGGCGCAACGATATACTCGAGAAACTGAAGCAACGCCAGCATTCCGTCGCCAAGCTGCAGCAGGAAACACATTACGAAAAGGCAGTCGAGCTCACATCTTGGATTAAAACGGCGGACGCTCGTTACCAGCATCCAGCTGGCGACTACGAGGACTGCGTCATCGAGCTGGAGTGGGTCAGCGGCAACTGTGGCGACAGCACAGAGAACGACTCCGGCACCTTCACGGTGCTCAGCCCCGATGGTGCCGCAACCAAAATACAATTCGCACTCTCCGACATCACGTGCGTGCAGTGCTGCAGCGAGCCAGGTGCCCCGCGTTTGGCCATACATGCGATGCACTTGCGCGTCAATTGCAGCCCGGTCAAACTGCAATTCACCAGTGATGCGGACATGGAGGATTGGCTATCGCACCTGTCCTCGGTGTGCAGTCAAATCAATATGCTAATGGGCAAGCCGGCAAGCAATGCGATTTGGCTGACCAGCGAACTGGGTGATGTATTTGTCTTCGACGCCGCCAACATGAAGGCACAACAGCTGCAGAAAACCTCCAACGGACAAGCTCATTATGTGGAGCGAATGGATGTGTCCACGTGCGAGACACCCTACTACAACACCCTCTATAATGGGTAAGTCTTTTTAGCTATTGTATAGGTTGCTCATAATACTACTGTGCTTGAAACTTCGTTTAGGATGCCCTGCGGCAGCGAGCTGGAAATCTCGGGCTGTGTCTACGATGATGCCGATCAGATTCGCTTCGATTTGCAGTGTCATTCGAGTATTAAAGCGATGCCGCATCGTGTGGAAAAGTTTCGGGTAATTGCGATGCATTTGAATCCGCGCTTCAATGAGCGCACAATTGTGCTCAACTCCATGATAGACTCGGAGTGGCTAGAGGAAATACGTAACGATCGTATGGTATTCGCGCCCGGTGCGAGCTTCACGGTGAAAATCAGGTAAGTTAACATACTCATCAGTCTTCTTAGCAATAATAATTAATGCTCATTGGAAACACTCGAACAGGGCACTTCAGAATCAATATCAGATTATTGTGAACAATGCGCTCTACACAGATTACAAATATCGAACTGATCCGGCGGCCGTCACGTGCCTCTATGTGAGTGGGCGTGTCAAGCTGTTTAATGTCGAGTATCGGTCGCCCTCGCTAATTGTCTCAATGCAACAGATGCACTGGCGCCAAATGGGAGGTCATCTGAAACGGGTGTATAACAGCGGCGTCGATGTCGTCTGGGGTATATCCTGTGATAATACAGCTTGGGTGTACAACGGTGGCTGGGGCGGCATGTTCCTGAAGGGCCTGGAAGGCTCGGGCAAAATAAACGCCATGATTGACACGCACACCTACTATGTATATGAGAATCAGCGCTGGAACCCCATCAGCGGCTTCACTGCCAAGAGTTTGCCCACAGATAGGCACATGTGGAGTGATGCAAGTGGGCGACAAAAACGCAGCAAGGAGCACACCAAGCTGCTGTCCACACACTGCGAATGGATATCGGATTGGGCCATCGACTACAATATACCCGGCGGCGCGGACAAGGAAGGCTGGCAGTATGCAATCGACTTCCCGGCCAGCTATCATGCACAAAAGAAGCTGACGGATTGTGTTCGGCGGCGACGTTGGATGAAGAAATGCCGCCTCAGCAGCAGTGGACCTTGGCAGGAGCTCAGCCATTCCAAGATACTCGATGCCGCATTGCAAGTGCTGGACAGTGATGTGGACGGGGCATTAAATGTCGAGGATATGCCTGTAGCTGCTTGGGCCGTTGCCTCAAATGGCGATGTATTAATCAGGCATGGCGTTTCCACTATGAATCCACGCGGCGACACCTGGGAGCACATTGTGAGCGACCAACCGTTGATTGGCATCAGTGTGGGACCCACAGGTCAGGTCTGGGCGGTTGCCCGCAATGGTATGATCTTCTTTCGCTATGGCATCAATAAAATGAATCCTTGCGGTGACGCCTGGCAACAGGTAGAGGCACCGTCTGGCATTACCTTCAAGGCCATCAGTGTGGGCCGCGCAGGTATTTGGGCATTGGACAATCAGCAACGGCTGGCAGTGCGTAAGGAGGTAACACGTACATTTCCCGAGGGATCACATTGGCAATTTCTTCCAAATGCTGCCAATGTGCCGCCGCACACGGAAGCCCAATGCGGCTTTCGGTCCGTATCTGTGGGCAAAGAGGTGTGGGCCATTTCCCTCAATGGCATCATTTGCCGTCGATGCGGCATAACCAGCGAAAATCCTGCCGGTGCCGGTTGGAACCTGGGCATTGCGGTACGCCTGCAAAAACATTGCATTTTGCGACAACCTTATTGAATTTGTATATTTATTACAGGGCCAGTGGCAACAGTTATCCCTGGAGGGCTATATGTAACCATCGCATTCCGTTTTCAATATTTATAAGTATACTCTGCACCCGGAATGGGTATATAGAACGCATATACCTTAAACGTTATGACGAACAGTGACAATTCACGCGGGAAAGCTCAGGACTTCTGCAGCTGTTGCAGCCAAAACTTCAGCTGCTTGAAAACTGGATGCAGAGTATATTAAAGTCGAACTTACTTGACTGCAGTCTACTTCCTTTTTTCATTATAATATGAAATGCTTATACATCAGCTTAATTGTATTGAGCGTATTTATTTCCAGAAGTCTGTTGTTTTATTAATTATAATTTATCATTAAGCCTACAGCCATTTCGCTTTATGCAGCATATTTATATATTTATTTTTCTGAATTGTCTTATATATATATTAAATACCTATAACGTATATGTTGACTTTGGTAGTAATATTTAAATCCAAATTGAATTTGCGCTTGTATCGAAAAATTAATTTGAAATTGTGATGTATCGATAACAGTTATACCTAAATCGTACTTCGATATTGTCCTCAATGCAACTCTGTACAAAAGTCATAAGTGCTAGTGTTGTTCAATTCGATACAGAAGTCCAATTGAGAATCAACAGCAAAAAAAGTTTATAAGCGTATTTAAAGTAAAGCCATAACAATAAGTAAATAATGTCTGACTATGATAGTGTACGCATAAAAAAGTTGGTTTTTAAGGGAGAAAAACACAAGTGAGCATTTGAAAAAAAACCAAACACAAGCATATTCTAAGCACTTTGTTTATAGAAAAAGTAAAAAGCGAAAGAAGGAAAAGGAACACAAACATGACGAGACAGTCAAACGTAGCAAGACGGTTACGGATGAAGATGCGATTCAGCACGCGGGTTGGTGGACAGCGACGACAGCAGCGAGCATTGTTGGCTCGGTGGCCATTGAATTTGGCGAACGCTGTTATTTGAAAGCCCTGGACAATGGGTTAGTTATAGAAGACTAAAATGAATATCGAGACTAACTGAAATTTGTTTTTAGATTGTTTACTTTGGGCGCGCCGCACAATCCAGGTGAAGGTCCCGATCCGGAGGAAATATTTACGGCGTTTCCCATCAACGAACGCAAGGTCTCCTTCAAATCGGGCTACGGCAAATATCTGAAAATTGAAAAGGACGGCATGGTTACGGGACGCTCGGAGGCTGTTGGCAGCATGGAACAGTGGGAGCCCGTCTTCGAGGTAAGCCCACAAAATCATTCAACCAAATGTTTGTAAATTGACCATTTGTTTGTTTAATTCATCGTTTAGGACAAACAAATGGCTCTACTCTCAGAAACGGGTCACTTCATGTCCATCGATCCGGAGGACGACGCTTGTGTGGCCCTGCACAAGAAAGTGGGACCCTTAGAAATTTGCCGCGTGCGCACCAATGCAGCCAGGGATGTTGTTGTCGACGAACAGCCAAAAGAGGAAAAAGGCGATCTGGGTGAAGTTGAGAAAAACTATGTGTAAGTGTAGCATTAGATTTGGTTTCATTGAATTCCGCATGTTAAGTGAGTTCTTTTCCAGCAAAAAGTTTCAAAAGTTCCAGGACAAAAAGATGCGCATTAGCAAGAACGATGTGAAGGAGCTGGAGGAAGCTAAGGCCCAAGGACTGCTACATGAAACTCTGCTCGATCGGCGAAGCAAGATGAAAGCCGATCGATATTGCAAATAAAGCGTACAAATTTATGTAACAGGAGGAAAAAGACATATCCAAGCAAAGTATGTTTTTCTTTTCCATATGATTTTAATAATTGGCCCTAGAGTATTCATACTTCAAGTGATATAAAAGTTCTAGTTGTGTTTGTTTATATAGTGATAATTTGTCAAAGTTGGGTGCAGGGTATCTTACATTTAAACAACTTAAGCAGCAGGGTAATGAAATATGCGGAATTTGAGATGTTTTGTTTCGTGAGATAGAACAATAGACACTTCTTTTATTTGGATCTGAGAAAATTGAAAACTGAGATGCTCAAGAGAGCGGCGAAGAGCAGAGAACATTGGAATTTACGCGAGCGTGAGAACGCCTACCGACTGCCAGAGACACAGAAACCGGTTTGATGTGTGAGCCACGAACTGAGCTACAGTTTGAGCTGAACATTCAGTTGGTTTTGGTTGAGGAACTGTGACGGAACAGAGCGCATAACCAAGATAGTTAGACGAAGTATTTGACTGTTTATATTTACCTGTTCGAGGGAAATGCGAAAATCGCAGGGTGTGTCGTTGGGCCCGGACAGACGCCTGGGCTTGGACGCCTCAGAGACGTATTCAACGTCGAGCTCCTCGCTCAGCAGCTCGTTCAGCGATGGCAGCGATCTGGTCAACTGGGAGGAGTACGTGGCCGAAGACGGCAGCCTGTTCTATGCCGAATATGTGCCCAGTGTCAAGCTGAATGTGGCTGAGCGACGCGGCGAGCTGCTGCGCCGTTCACTGCGCCTGGGAAAGAAAACAACGCGGCGTCAGCAGCAGAATAGAGGCCAACAGGGCAAGCACAATGGCAACCAATACAGCGGCGGCGGCGGCGGGGTGCAGCAGCAGACGCAGCAGCAGGCACAGACCGAGCCAGAGAACGATGCCAGCAACGGGTTCCGATTCGCAGACATCAAGAGTTCGCACGCCAATGCCAGCAATCATAAGCAATTGGAGCTGGTTATAACGGCAACGGATCGCTTCCGGTTTGGCCGTCGCTCCACCGCCGTCGAGTCCATACTGGGCTTTCGTGTGCTGCCCTTTCCCGACCAGCCCGAGTGCCTGATGGTGGATAGTTTTGTGCATGATATAAGCGCCATGCAGCACAACATAAAGCGCGGCGATTGGTTCAAGTCCTTGAATGGCATAGAGCTGTATGCCAGCAATGTGGACGAGCTGCTGCAGCAGTTCCTGGAACCCACCCAGGTGTGTCTGGGCTTTCAAGGCGCCAGCCTTGCCAGTCCCGCTGCCAGCACAGAGGAGGCCAGCGGTCAGGCTAATCAAATGCCGCAAGTGCGCAAGCTGGTCAGCTTTGCCATGTTTGCGGATCAGTTCGAGCAGCTGCTGCCGCCCGCTGTGACCGTGCCGGACACGTTGACGCCCTTTGGCATGCTGCTGTTGCCACCGGAATGCTATCAGCATGAGCAGCACAAGGATTCGCTCTACTACTACCCAGAGTCGGCGCTGACCAATTTCCTGTACAAGGCACGCGGCAGCTTCCTGACGCTCTGCTCCGTGCTCAACGAGCTGCAGACGCAGCCGTTAACATCGCGCCTGCTGGTCGAGCAGGTGCCCTACTATGTGAACTATCGCAGTCTGAACGGCTTCCTGGTGCTCTTCGCCTATGCGGCGCGTTTGTACAGCGCGGCCGAATCCAGCCTGAGGTCGGATGAGCTCATCGGTTACATTAGATTCTCGCTGCCAGGTCTTAGTCTGGATAACTTTTCCACTGCCAACGATAGCTCCAACGGTCTGCGCCAATTCCTACGTCACTTTTGTGGCATTCAACGCTCGCGCCTGCTCGCCCAGCCGCGGGGCGAGCTGCAGTTCGAGCAGCTGCTGAAGCAGTCGAGGAGCTTGCCGCTGCCCAAGGAGGCGCAGTTGCGCATATTTGACGCTCTGAGCGAGATGGAGGCCATGGATTACCGCAACTGGAACGATGAGCCATTGACCACGCATCGCGAGTTCTTCATCTACGGCTGCGCCCTGTACTATGACAGCTTTCTGCTGGCCAGCCTGCTGCCCGCCGAGGTGCGCTTCAATGTGGAGCTCTTCCTGCGCTGTCGCGGCATATTTGACTTTATTGGAGCAGCGCCCGCTGTCCGGGTGCGTGAGCTGTACGTGTGGGAGGAGATTGTGCTGGCCAATGCAACGGGTCGGTATTTTCTGACCGTCTGCTCGCGTAGCCATCTGATCCTGACGGTCATCCTTAAGATGTACGTTGATGCGCCCGAAATGGAAGCCTTTACTGCGGTGCCGCCATCCTTGTTCTACATCGAGGAGATACAGGAGACATTGGATCACCTGATCCAGTGCGGCATTGAATCATTGGCCAAATTCTGGTCCATATCCAACAAGCGTCCGGAAGTGCTCGATCAGCAGAAGCTCGAGCAGTCCGGCGAGGAGCAGGAGGCCAGCCGCAAACTGGAGTCGTTCCTCAGGCAGAAACCCAACACCTCACACTCGTCCGCCGGCAACGACGAGGAGGCACAACTGTGCTCATCCCTGGGCGGCTCTTCCATACACAGTCTGACGCCCAGCGAGGACGAAATGTCGCGCCGGCGCCTGACGCCCGCCGATGACTCGGACAGCGGCTCGGACTGGGAGAACTTTGCGGAGCAGCATCCGCTGCACTACGGCCTCAATCTGAATGCGGAGACCCAAAGCCAGATAACCACATCCCTCTGGAAAGAGATCAACAATGTGCTGCCCGTGAAAATATCCGCCGGCTGGAAGAACTCTGTGCTGCACTACGTTTACGTTGACCTCACAAATGGAGTCCTGCTCTGCCCGTTCACAGCCAGCTCGGAGAGCTTTCCCTACCTAAGTGAGATACGCAAAGCATGTCATATGATTCATCTGGTGCTGGAACGCTCGAAGCATCATCGCCGCCAAATGTCGGAGCCGGCCAGATCCGCGCTGACGCATGCCAGCCATGATATAACCATTGTCAAGGAACACGGCATTACCATGGAAATCGCCAATCCCGCCAAGGAGCAGACTGCCAGGCGCTTCGTTGTGGTCGGCCGACTCTTTCAATCTCCGGCCAAGGAAGTGTATGTGTGCCACGTGCCGGAGGTGCCCCAAAATATGGTCGAAATGGCATTTCGCTTATCCTTCTTCTCCATGGGGTAGTCGATGATCATTTTAAACAATTTATAGTATTATTAGACCCGATGAAGTGTGAAAATGGGGAAGTAGGAAAAGCTAAAATATAATAATTCAAATGAATTTTATTAACGCTTGAAAATGAGTTGGAAGACAGTCGTATAACTCATCATCAATCAATCAATCAATCAGTCGGGAATTAAATTTTTATTTATATAAAGTTCCACTCTCTTTTCTGTGAAGTAAAAAAAAAAAAAACAAATATAATAACTCAAATGAGTTTTAGTAATGCTTGAAAAAGAGTTTGAAGACAGTCGTATAATTCATTATTAATCAATCAATCAATCAGTCGGGCTTTAATTTGTATATATGTATGTAAAGTCCCACTATTTTCTGAGAAGTAAAAAAGCTAAAATATAATAAGTCAAATGAATTTTAATATCGCTTGAAAATTAATTTTATTTTAGTCATATAATTCATTCCTAATCAATCACTCAATCAGTCGGAGTTAAAAGTTTTATTTATATAAAGTTACACCCTCTTTGCTGAGACTCCCTTCTTTCCATTATTTTATATATAAACAATTGTGGCTCCTTTGTGCCTTTTTTAATTTATGATACGAAAGTTGCTGCGTTTTTCATTCATATGTTTGATCGCAAGGCAAAACATTGGCACTATATTTATATTTAGATAAACGTACGCACCGGAATATGCGACACGCGCCCTAGTCGCATATTTATAAACATAAATTCATAAATATATATAAATATAGATGTGTGTTGGTGTGTGTGTGTGTACAAACACAATGTCAACGTTTCATTCTGCAAAAGCTGCCCGCTCGATATGCTCATTCGTCAGTCAGTTGTCAATGCGGCCTCCCAGACAGCGGAACACCCAGGGTCTGGTCTATTTCCGACGGAGAATAGGGCTTACATCATTGTTAGCTGGAGATGCCAAAGTGGTTGCTGTGCGTGGCCTGCGTTCTTCTGGCCACGGTACTCGCACTGGACGAGGTGGACAATAATAGCCTTAATGCCAACGAGACTGAAAGGTCGCCGGATGCGGAAACGGACGCCAAATTACCCAGCGAGGTGCAAAGGGCCGTGTGTACCGTCAATGCTGGCGAGGTCAGAGCATCCGCAGAAGCCGTCACCACCAAGACCTTGAAGGGAGTCTGCGGATCGGGTAAGGTCTATGCCCAGCTGGAATACTGCATGTCCGATAATGTAATGCCCGTTTAGATGAAATGAATCTGGCTTTTCGCAATCTGGAGGAGAAACTGTTTGGGGAATTGCGTGAGATCAAGGAGCTGCTGGCGAAGCTAAGCGAGCTGCGTGCACAACCAAGCAGCAACTCGAGTCCATTGACGTCAGTTCCCTCAACGAAGCCAACTGCCATAAAGAGAATTAAGTTTGAGCAGATCACCATGAAGCCCATCCCGGAGAAAAAGCAGCCGATGCTTAAGCAATTGGAAAACGCACCGGAGCGCGAGGAGGAGATTGGCAGGTTTAACAATACAATGCTGGCGGATCAGGATTTTCAGTTGTTCACCTACTATTGGAAGCTGGAGAACTTTACGGACCACATTTCGAATGCGTCGACTGCAACCGTCAAGAGTCCAATGTTTAGCATAAGAGGCGAGTACTTAAATGGATAATAATCTCTGGAATCTAATCCTTATATACCAACCAGGCAGGACACTTCAATTGAAGTGCACATTTCAGCATTTGCACCGCGATATGATAAATTTGCAGCTGGCATTGGCCTATCCAGCGCATGATCCCGGCCAGGGTAAGGAAAACAACATAATGCTGGATATGGGCGGGCAATGGAAGCAATTGAAATGGGCGGATCGTGTCGCGTTTAAGCACAAAATTTCACTATTGGATCAGAATCAGAGCCATAGACGCACACAGGACCTCAGCTCACAGGAGCTGACCAAGCTCGACATGGGATTTTCCATACCGAATAGCGCGATTTTGGGCAGCAATTATGTAAGGCACAATTCGCTTCTAATACAAATTATTTTATATTTGTGAGAGGTTTACATTTTATTCAAATTAAACCAAAAAAGCAACCATAAACCCATTTAGCCAGACACTACCTAATTAGAAAATTAAGACTACCTTAGAGCTTGCTGCGTGCACCCTTGGCCTTGATGTCCAAGAAGGGCATCGCAATGGGATACAACTCTTTGCAGGATTTGAATGCCACAATATCGTTAATTGTCGTATGACGTTCAGAGCTGGCCACCGGGCTTTCATCCTCCTCCTCGGTGATGGGGGCATTCGGATCTTTCAGTGTCGAGACAATGTGCACGGACAAAACTCTTCGTTCTTCGCCATCTTTTGCTATGAATTTCTGCAAATGCAAATAAATTAGTCATACACAAAATTGGAAAAGAAAGAAAAGCGGGTCGCACCTTGAAGTAGTCCACAAAATCGGCTTTCGTAATTTTGCGCAGTATTGCAACTTCGGCCTCCTCGCGTTCGAAGTGATACGTTTGCATCGCTATTTCACCGTAGAACAGACTGAACTGCTGGAATATCGTTTTGGGCTTCTCCAGCTTTTTGACAATCAACGCTTCCTTATGGCGTGCAAACTCATCCAACGGCATGTCCTCAATAGTTTGCTAAAGATGCGAATGTTAAAAATATGGCGCCTATTTCTCTCAACATCTCCTTACCAAATAGGTCTGCAAGAAGTTCTCGATGCGATCTTCGACAAACGCGGGATGCTTCGCAGACTGCACAATAATGCGAATACCATTGGCGCCGTTCACTTTGCGCACGCCACTGAAAACAATGTAGCCGAGCTGCTCCTTTGTGCGAAGGCAATCATAGCAGGGCTCGGAGAGCACTTGCGATACCAGGTTGACCATAATATTGGTAAGATCCGTCTGGGCACCACACTGCATATAGAGCTGTGTGCAGGAGCTCTTGTGATACTCATTTTCCTTTTCAAACAGATAACTATCACCTGGTCCACGTAAAGGAAATGCAATATGCATTAGAAATTTTAAATATTATTATGAAAGTGAGTGCTTAATTACCCGGTACCAACTTGTACTCGCGCTTTTTTAACATTTGGCGCGCTAATATTGGCAACTTTGTAGCGTTTGTTTCCTCTAATCGTCTATTGACGCGACCCGCGATGTCCGTAGCCTGCTGCTTGGTAACGTTGCCAAAAATGAAGCATTCCGTATGCAGTCGCTGGAAGAACTCCTTGGCAAAGTTCAACACACGGTCATAGGAAACAACTAAAATGTGTAAACAGGCGATGATTTGATTACGGAATGGAAAACTTTGCCATAACTCACGTTCCATAGCATCTAATAGCTCCACGTTTGCCCAGGCGTTCTCGGTGAGTAGCAGGGCTAGATAATATATGGAATGCTGATAGGGTTGTTCTGCCTTGAAATTCTTTAATGATCGTATGTACTCCTCCTTGAGTATGTCGAACCGCATCTCGTCTATGCTGAAGTCAAACAAGTGATCCAACAGCTTCTCAAGCAAAACAACCTGCTTGTCATTGAAGCCACGTATGGTAAACTAAAAATGAAAGTAATTTTTATAGCTGTGTATTTAATTAAATCTTTTCCACTTACATCGATGCCGCCTGGCTTGGTGGTAACGCTTAGCTTAAGGCTGGCCAGCTCTGCGTCATATAAATACTCATTGAGCTGATCCTTTAGCAGCATAACCATCATATGGTTCAGATTGCAATTCAAGGGATCCAAATAGGCAATAGGATTAGACATATCGAAGGTCATGCATGCTTTGGGCTTGTTGAATTGATTGTCCTGTTTGTGCCACACGCGCAGAATGGGCGTATCCAGTATAATTGTTGGATGCTTGGGGGCATCGCTGGGCACATCGGCAATATCAAAATTGCTCGGTATAAAACTGTTTGGCAGTGCCAGCTTTAGATTCTCATTAACCTCGCAATTCTCCCAGGCCTATAAGTGATTTGAAATTAATCTTAATGGCAAGTTTGCCAAGGGCTTAACATACACAAATTGTCTTCTGAGGTATACGCTCCAAGCCGTATTTCGTTTTATAATACGGCTCCGCTTGATCGGTAGACTGTTCGAAGCTCTGGCTAACCAGGGAAATGCGACTTTTGCTGGGCACCAGTTCGTCTAAGAGCTTGCAAACCAATTCCGGACGCCACTCGTTGCTCATATATGGTGCAATAAGCACCTCTTCTAGTGGGAATATTTGCATGGATGATACTGCGTGGGTAACCAAATTCTCGGGCTGCTCTTTCTCTTTGAAACGGAAGCGCATTTCGTTTAGCTTAACACATTCATCGAAGATCCATTTCTTGGGACCCTCTTTACGCAACATGCACAAATACTGAAATATTATGTTCACAATGTCATCAACATGCTCCAAGCCCTCCTGCGTTAGATCCACAACTATCTCAAAGAAACCAAAGCCATTCTGTGTGTTCTGATGACCGGCCATAAGACTGTAATAAACAACACCGTAAGCTTAATCTTGGTTAACCTCGGTCTACTTACTCATTACACCAGCCAAGCCTCCGTAGCTCGGACAATATGCTGCCTTTGCCCTCGTGTCCAATAAGATGCGTCAAATAATTGTCGGGCTGGAAATAATATTCCAGTAAAACAGTTCTTTAGCTTAACAATTTCAATTTACTTACCCCGGATTTGTAGTACTGTGTCAGATCGTCGGTCGTAAAGCTAATCGTTAATGAGCGTATGTCCTTAATGGGCACTATCTTTAACTTCTGCCCGTACTGTTCCTCTCCGTAAGGATGCCTTGGCCATTCTGGTACCTTAACATTCTTATTTTCTATTTCTGAGAACTTTTCCATTACCATACTTTCAAGTTGATCTAACGATTCTGTCGAATTAAAATTACAAATATTTAATATTAATTTGGTTTCACAAATATTGTTACAATACCAACCTTTTCCAATAACAGCTAGGCACATGATGTTCGCTGAATACCAATATTTGTGAAACTTTAACAACTCCTCACGGACATCAATGCCCTTGGACTTGGGTATTTCGGAAAGCGTGGCCTTGTTCCCGCTGCCGAACTTGCTGTACGCATGATCCGGCTTGGCCAAATGCCTATGCACTTGCTTGATCCGCCACAGATCGCTTGATAAATTCTTTTCATGCTCCGAATTAACCTGCAAAGATTGCACTCAATGAACGTACAATATGGTATTGCTGATATTCCACATACTGCGTTGATTTCTCGCTCGGTTGCGCTGGGCGTGAACAGGGGCGCAATAAAGAACTGCGCGAAACGATCCAGCGCACCGTCCAGCTTGTCGGGGGCAACGTGAAAGTGATATTTTGTCATGAGCGGGTACGTGGCAGCATTGCTGCTACCGCCGCTCTGGGAGAGGTATGTGGTATAGCCGTTTTCGTGCGGATACTTCTCCGTGCCCAGAAAGAGCATGTGCTCGCAAAAGTGCGCCAATCCCGGCAGGTTCTCTGGGTCTGACATGTGACTGCAATAAAAAAAAACAAATGACGATTAATTATGCATATTTATGCAGAATACCTAGCTATACCTAGGCGCATCTTTGGACTCTTACCCAACCTGCACGGAAAGTGCAGCAGCCGAAACATCAGTGGTTGGATCCGATATTAGTAATACTTTTAGACCGTTTTCCAACTGCAGGCCACGATAATCGCGCGTGTCCTGTTGCGATTTTTCAATATTGTTTATGCTGAATAAAGTGAATGTTATGTTATTGTTTATTTTTTTGGAAGGTTTTTGATAATTTATATGCACCGCATTATGGGCTCCAGCTGATCCAATTTCTTGGGCTGCGCCTTTTGGTGGGTTGCAGTCTCCGTTAAAGTCATTTTACGGCTTGGTGTATTTGTAAGCGTTCTATATCCGGATGAATTGTTAATACAGTTCCCTCTACTGTTGATACAACAAACAAGTTTTATTATGTTAATTAATTTTATTGTTTTTAAGCGTACTGTCGATGTAGAACAGCTGTTATGACTTCTGCAAAAATCGATTTGCGGCTCGAAAAAGTAAGACACGTTCGCGGGGCAAACATAGAAACGATGTTGCTTTTTCTGCAGAAATTGTTGACTCGTATTAGAATAAAAATCAATTTTAAGAATAAGTCTAATTAAAAAATATTTTTGCTTAGCCTCTAGACTTTTACCAATCCAAAATATTTGCAGATGATTTAGTTTCGCAACAACACCAACAATTCAAAACATGTGTTTCAGGGTTGCCACGCTTGAACACATCGTATATATGATACTTGATAGTTATGTGTGATATTTTAGATTATTTTTCACCTCAAGGCACCGGTTGTAAAAAATAAAATGAAATAATTGGAAAAGCCACGGTGGCATTAATTTTCAATTATTTCTTTAAAAAAAAAAACAACTTAGACTATACTATATACGATTTACTTTTGAAAATTAACAGCTAAATCGACACAACTATGATCAAATCAGAGCATGTACAAAAATTAATTTTGTCTTGTCCTTATTGTTTTTAAGTCTGGCAACAGCTCATGCTTTGTGCTCTGACGATGCTCAACACTGGCAGTTGCACTTATCGACAAAAACATATCGACTGCGGCGCACGATTGTTGTAACAGTTGTTGTAACTGCATTTTATTATTTAACAATTAATAATAATCACATGCGCATGCCTTGTGTATGTGATGCCAAAAGTTGAAATATAATAAAGTCGGATAGTTGGCAATCGCTGTGCAGAGAAATGCAAGTGTACGCAGTTAGTGTATTTATTTGTATTTGTATTGGTGCAAATATAAATTGCAAATTGTTGTAAATTCCGTCTGTGTGCGTGTATGATAAGTGCAACACGCAAATAAAGAACTGGGAGAGCATAGGACGAATAATACAAGACAAGCAGCAACTCTAAAGGTATCTATTTCCCATAAGTTGTTCTCATTCATGAATATACATGTGAACATATACATATAGAAGCTTATAGAAAACATTACAGTTAATTGCTGTTAAATTATATGTGTATATGCTTAAACAAAAAACATTCGTTTATTGTGAAATTGATCGAAAATTCAATTATTGAATATGTAAATTAATACGCACATATGTCTTTTTATGTGTATAAATTTATGTATATTTGAGAATTTGCGCCTCATGCATAAAATTTCGTTGATTTTATTTGAAAATGTCGCTGACGTCGCTCCGACCCGAGTCTGAGTCTGGTTCTGGGTCTGGTTCTGGGTCTGAGTCGGTGGCCAGTAGGCGGCACCGCATTAAAACGGAATGAGAAAATCAATAAGCTTAGCAATGGGGCATCTTAGGTGCCGGTGGTTCCTTCGAAGGAGCTCTAATTCATTTTATTGTGGTCTGCTTAATGCATAGCAATTACATTAGCAGCAAATAACATTTATTTAAACATGTATTGAGATAAACTTGTTGAGAGAAATTGTTTGAAAGTATATTACAATTTATATATAGACCAAAATTACAAAAAACTGCAAAGCTTGTGATGCATTTTCTCAATTTAAGGAATTGCATTCCTTAAATAATTTTGTGTTAGCAAAAGTAACTTAAGAATTTTAACATTAAAGCTGGGAGAATGGTCCATACTTAAAAGAAATACATATACATATGTACGCAATATATATACTTACATGCATATAAATATACATATCTACAAATACATACATACATAGTACGGTACATTGTGCGTCTCGAGTGCATCCAAAATTAAACGGTATACGAGCAAAACGGCACGTTCAACGTGAAAGAAAACAAAAGAGAACAGGTTTTATCTGTGCCGAAGAATAAATACCCTGCAGCCACATGACATGTGGCATTTGCGCTATATAACTAAATTAATTTAAATTTCTGGTCTGCTGTATATACATATGTAAAAGCTACGATAAAAGTGCTCAACTTAATCATATATGTATAAAATGTTATATAGTAGAAATAATGTAAGGTATTTTTCGACACAAATATCCTTTACACAGATATATATACAGTTAATATGTCACTAATCTGATTTCTTCTGAGACATGTTTTATATCAAAATACTTCATCTTTTCAAACGAATCCAGAGTTAAAAGGTTTTGGTTTTCGATTTGATTTGCATTGTTACAGGGTATAATTTCGCTCGAAATTTGATTGAAGATATTTTTATTTCTGTTTCAATTGAGCTCAATTAGACTCTAAAAATGCTTCCCGCAGTATTTTTAACAACGCAATGGGTTTGCTTGTGGGCTTGTTGTCGTTTTCCATACTTTTACTTTCATTATCCAATGTCTGGACAGACTACGCATATTATTCGCAGTACTTGTGGCACTTTGATACTTAAGGAAGAGGAAAACACATTCGCTAATTCATTTATTTGTTGAACTTCGCATGGTTCTAATCCTGCTCATACTGAAGGTGCATGCCAAAAATGGACAACGAGCAGCCACATCAGGAGCTGGTCAAGTGCGTGCTGGTTGGAGACACTGCCGTGGGAAAGACGCGCCTGATCTGCGCGAGGGCTTGCAACAAGCATGTGTCGCTATCGCAGCTGCTATCCACGCACGTGCCGACCGTGTGGGCGATCGATCAGTATCGCATTTACAAAGACGCAAGTGACAATTTTGTCGACAGCAAATCCTGTGCCCTAATAACACGACGATACCATTAAATGCATTGCAGGTTCTAGAACGGTCTTGGGAGGTTGTGGACGGTGTCAATGTCTCCTTGCGTTTGTGGGACACCTTCGGGGATCATGACAAGGATCGTCGCTTTGCCTACGGCAGGTGAGTTAACGTCTCAGATTAAACGTTGGCTTATTAATTATGGCTTATTCATTTGTTCCAGATCTGATGTAGTACTCTTGTGTTTCTCCATTGCGAGCCCGATCTCGTTGCGCAATTGCAAAGTAATGTGGTATCCGGAAATACGTCGTTTCTGTCCAGATGTGCCCGTCGTGCTAGTTGGCTGCAAAAATGACCTGCGTTATATGTACCGCGATGAGAACTATTTGTCATACTTTGGCGAAAAGGGCACCTTTGTACGGTGTGTTGAAGTTATGAATTAGTTAAGTTGGATAAATGCATTCTAAGTTGCTTTCTTTTTATATGCGCAGAGCCGCCTTGAAGAGTGATTTGGTCATGCCGGATGAAGCGCGCGCCGTTGCAAAGGAACTGGGCGTTAGCTATTATGAGACCAGCGTATTTACGTACTTTGGCGTCAACGAGGTGTTTGAGAATGCGATTCGATCTTCGCTTATTGCGCGTCGACAGCAGCGCTTTTGGATGACAAACCTGAAAAAGGTGCAAAAGCCCTTGTTGCAGGCACCATTCCGACCACCCAAGCCACCACCACCCGAGGTTACCGTCATGGTCGGCCATTATCGCCAGGATATCTACAATATGTTTCTTTCGCAAGCCTATGCCGACCTTGTTCTGGTGGTCGGCGGAACCAAGTTTGCGGTGCACAGATTTATGCTTGCCGCGGCATCTGGCATTTTCCAACGCATCCTCAGCACCGAGTTGACAGACATGGGCGGCCGCAGCAGCAGTGAGTCGAGCATGGTCAGCTCAACGTTTGGAGAGGCGACCATAGCCGACTTTAACGACGACACAGAATATCTCATACGCTACGAATCACGCACACAACGGTGAGTTTTCAGCTCAACTTGATTTTCCGGTATGTTACTAACGCTTTCAACAATTCTCTTTGAACAGCATGTGGGAACATTTAAAGCGACGCTCTAGCTATCAAGCATTACCATTGGTGGAGTCAAAACGCTCCGGTGATTTACATAAGGAGCTGCACCATCCAGTGCTGCAGAGCCTACGCCTAGTGCAAATGGAGAACCAACGCGGCGTCAGCTCTATTCAAACGATTGTTACTCTCAGCAAACTTGTCTCGCCCCAGGCCCTGCACCAATGCCTAAGATTCATTTATACAGGCACCATTGACAAGGATTGCACTAATCTGCAGGTAATGCAAACCAGGTCTTCTACTTGTCGTCAGTTAAGATTAAATGTATATTCTGCAGGAAATAAGAGAAGCTGCCGATTTATTAGAACTGCCGCAATTAACCGTGTTACTTTCCAAGCCACAAAGCGTCATCGAGAGTCCCAGTGATGAACCTAATCCCCACATTTGTCTTGTGAGTTGCCTAAGCTAACTTTTGTAAATATATCGTTACTCACAATCTCTATATTTGCAGCGCATAAAGGAGAGCATGGAAAGGCATTGCATTGGAGACGGCTGCTTCAGCGATGTTACCTTTGAGCTGGACGACGGTTTGATGAAGGTGTGCATATATCGCAGTGCAATAAGTATTTAACAGCTCTGAGCGATATGTTAGCTAAAAAGAAATTTATAACCTTTCTTGAAGCTGGTAACCACAATATTTTATTGATTGTGAATGTTAGTAGGTAATTTAATTATTAAAAAAATGTGTTCTTCTTTGACTGTCGGCCAGTTATGTATATGTATGTATTTTTAATAATAATCGTTTAGTATTATATTTCTAGCTTTAAATGTAATATTTTCTTTGTATTCATTTGCTAACTCAATCATTATTTACAGGCACATCGAGCTGTTTTGGTGGGTCGCTGCGATGTTATGCGCGCCATGCTCCTGGGCGACTTTCGCGAGGCACATTCTAATGTGGTAAGCCTATTGAATTGACACCAATTAAACATACAAAGGATACACCTGTGGTTTTGTTTTTCAGATTGTTTTCCCTGGCGTTACTATTTATACATTCCATAAGCTGCTGTGCTATTTGTACACAGATCAAATTCCGCCCATCTCAGCGGTTAAATGCCTCAATTTACTGGAATTGGCCAACCGTTTGTGCCTGCCGCGCCTTATCAATCTGATTGAGTGTCGCGTTATTGAAGATCTCACAATTATTTCACAAAACGAAACCAATGAAACGGTCGATCATTGCCTAAAGTTACTGGAGCCAGTCAAGGTCTGTGGTTTATGATACACCATGTAGCGTGCTTTGAAATCATTTAAATATTTCTTTCTTACAGTTGCACAATGCCCATCAGTTGGCCGAATGGTGTATGTCGTATCTGTGCGTCAATTACAACGTTATCTGTAAGTTCTCACTTAAGGGCTTGAAAGCACTGCATCAGGATAATCAGGAGTATTTACGCGAGCATCGCTGGCCACCAGTTTGGTATCTGAAGGATTACGATTACTATCAACGCTGCATCAATGAGCTGAACAAGGAGCTAAAGCTAAAAAGCACTCGGCGAGATTTCCCAAGCGATGACGAAGGGTGCCTGTGCTTTTCCGGAGGTAAGTGTCATCATCACCCACCACTCACACATGCATATGTATACACCGGCTAGCAGATGAGGCTTGGCATTGGCCTGCAACATGATGACCAAAATCGGAGGTAATTGCTAATTCTTAGCATTCCTTTAATTATTGCCATTGAAATAAGTATGTAAACCAGAAAAAGGAAATTGCCCGGTATAATCCAACTAAATCTTGTGTTTTGAGTGTACTTGGTTTGTATTTATTATATACCCGATTATATATATGTTATATATCGGTTTCATTCAACACACTGTTCAAACCATCATCACAATATTAACGTGCAATATTTGGACAAAGTGTTCTCTTGCTGGCTGCTAGGTAAATCAAAGCGGAACGGTGTCGTCAGCGCCAGCGGGCCCAATGGAGAGAGCAACGGAACAACGGCCGAGAATCAAATATTCAACAGCTCGGCCAACTCAATGAACCACATCGACCTGGAGGCTGACATCGATCTGAATCTCTGACACCCAGCCCTGGGACAGGGAAGGTCTGTTATCAATACCTATTTTCAAATTCACCTGTATAATGTCTACATATATCTGCTTCAGGTCACTGCGATTTATTGTGATTCTACCCGTCCTGATTTGTTTCATCTGTACAATTTTAAGTATTTTGATACTTTTCCAAATCCACACATAACGATCCCCGTGGACAACGGGTTGGTGGAGTCTGCTTTTGGTATTTGAGCTCCGCACAGAAACACATAAGCATTCATTCAATTGCTTTTCTTATATGCTTCAAATATGCCTAACCATAGTGCAATCAATATACATACGTATATGTACATATGTAGTATGTACATATCGGGCCAGTATGTACGTTTATGTTTTATTTATGCGCACTTTAAATGCAGAAATAATGATTGAACTGTATGATAAACCAAATCATGTGTATACTTATATTTATGTATTTAAATTTTAAATTCCAGTTTAGGGAAACATTTGTCTAGCCATAGCTTTTAAGCAACATAATATGACCTAAGGACGCATTTTGTACAAAATGATATAGAGTAAAGCCATTATGAATATAAAACATTTAGAAAACTAGAACATGTTACATTTATTAAGCAAACACAAAAATATATAAGTACATTAGTTAGTTCTATAGTTTTTACAAAGATGCTAATGTTTTTTGGCTAGCATGAGAGATGGTGCCGTCCTCAACCTCCAGTTCATCCAACATGGCAAGTAACTGCTCATCGTCAATTACAATCTCTGGCTTATTATTATTGTTACAGACATTTATTGGTTTTGCTGTTTCCTTCCCGCCCATCAAATTGCATAGCTCGATTTCCAACTCTTCCTCATCGTGGCTAGTGACAACTTCTGCCGTGTTACTTGACATAACATCTTGAATCTCCCGATGTTGATCCAGAGTCTCCCGCACATCGGCCAGAACCTCATCGACGTTATCATACTTGAGACCCGAATCGTTAAGAACCTTCTGCAAGGTTTTCGTTCCAATTTTGTATGCGTCAAGCACCACGCCGTTGTTTTGTGCCTCCTCCACATTTGAGAGCAGCGTTTCTATGTTGTGCAGCGCCAGACTGCGTCGCTCTGTGGATTTTTGGGAAAACATTTGTTAAATATTTTAATGCACATGGCCTGTTTGACGTACCGTGATTTTTTTCCAACAAACGCCGCTTGCGCAGGTAAGTTTTGGCTAATTGCCTTTTGTTTTCCTTGACATATTGACGCGCTTTATCGTCGTTAACTTTAATCTCTTCCTCGAGCGACTCCAACTGTTTCATTAGGCTGGCCTGCGTCATCTCCAGGTTATGCACGGCAAGATCTGCCTCGCTTATAATCAGACTTTCATTCTCGTCAGCTGTAACGAAACTAAAAGTTTTTATGAAGTCTTGAGAACATGCTCTTTGTAATTACTTGCCTGGGATCTTGATTAGGTGAACGCGCTGCGTTTTCTTTTCAATTTTAAATTCTAATGCCACTTGCCGGCGCGCCTGCAATGTAAGAAGACATAAATCCAGAAAATCCTCATGAATGCGCACTTGACACGATGTGCAAAGCGTCTTAAAGGCTTCAAGGTGCAGCAATTTTCCACGGTTCTTGTCCAATACTTTGGTTTCCATTTCGCTGCAGATGATCTGGTTGAAAAATTCGTATAGTTAGTATAGATTACAAGCAATTGAAATCAAAGCTTACGCGTAAAACATCCAAGTGAATCCATTCCACAAAAGATTCTGCCAGGGCATCCTTGGCGATTATGAGATGCTTCAGTTTTAGCCAGCTGCGCGATAGAGGGCGCTTCACAAAACTGGTGAGGAACCAGCCGCTCCAGGTGTTGAGCGGATCGTATTCATATTCGGTGCGTAGACGAATCTGTTTTTGCTGAGCCATTTCGGCTATTACAACGTCCAAGCAGGCAGGTATTTGTTCTCCACGCATGAACTGCAACTGCAGTTCACGTAAACTGAAATTGGCCTTGCCTAAATATGTACAGTACTGATTTATAAGATCCATCCAGAATATCATTTTGCTGTCATATGCTTCAATGTCCCAGTGGCGCGTATGAAAGTTCGCAAAGAGCAACCTGATTTTGTCTCTGTCCCGCCAAACTGGCGGAAACTTAAATTCCTCGTTATTTGCGTCCATTACATCATTTCTTAAACTCATTGTTTCCAAATTATCAAAATCATAAAAGAATACGCTAGTTAGAAACAAGCAAACGCTTCAATTTGGTTTGTATAAAAATAGCCAGCACAAATGCACAATTGTAATAACTCCTTGTTACTTTATTTGTGGCTATTTTGATTTCTTCATGTTGTTATTGTTTTGTTTATAGTTTTGCGTAGTTATTTCGCAAAAATGCTCAAACTAATTGTAATCGACAGAAGCGCTTAATATATATACATCGATAGCAAATGCGCATATAAGTTATCGATGTTTTGTCAGAAACCCATCTCTAATCTGGACCAGAAAACAAAGTAAACAGCTGTTCTGAATTAATACAAAGAAGAAGATAACGTGCAAGGCCACTAGATCTAGATTTGTATAGTAATTGTTGTAAAGTTTTAATTACAAAGTGCGTACTAAAGTTATCAGAATCAAACGATATTCGAATTCAGATCTCGATTTGCCATTAACAGTTGGAAGCGCTCAGCTTTCAGGCGGCAAAACAGATTGTAAACAAAGCGAAAACATATTTTTGTGATTCGGTTTCCAATGCCAATGCCAACTTGAGAAGCGTAACGTGCTCAACCGACACAGTTCCTCGCCAAGAAACCATCTTGGACAGACACCGCCAATGTGAGCAGAAGCCTGTTCCGTTGCCATCGAAGTTCTTCCAAAATCCATTTTCCATTCCTGTCCTGTCTAACTATCAACAACTGCTGCAGGTGGCGGCTGACTCACGTTTTCAGTAGCTGAACTTGTTGGGATATACGAAGAACGCGCCATTGCCGGTGTTTGATTATTGACTGCGACGTATTGTGTGTTAACTTTAACATGCAGGATGATGAAATTGTTTTCTGCCACCAGCTGGGTAGAGGTAAGTGTAAATTAAATGAATCTCATGTTGATAAATAGAAAAACCTGCTGCACGGCTTCAATCTTATTGTATACCGAAACACAAGAGTTTTGAAGTGTATCAAAACATCGACGTGCATTTGTTGAATTTGTTTGTGTCCTCTTTCAAAGTAAAATACATACATATGTACCTATACACAGACATACATACATAGGTACATATGTATGTATGCTTATAAGTCTTGCTTTGACGTTTCTGATTTGGGCGCCGCTCGTTTATTTATTGGTTTTTCTTTTGTTGCGCTCATTCTCTTGCTCCCGCAGCAGCATACATACATATACTAAGTACTTTTGGAGTACACGAGTCAAAAATTGCTTTTACAGTAATTTATACAAAATGCTGGCAAAATAAAGCTTGGATTAGAAACAAGCATTTGCATAACAATCAGAGCAGCAAGCGCACTTGATGCTGTTAATGGCATACAAAAGTGATCTTACTTGACCATTGACCGTCTTGCATTCAGCTCGAGCTCATGTCAAGGGTATTGTTAGGTTGTGCTCGTAGTAAAGTTCAACTTTTGATCGTTGATTTTGTTTTATTTTTGAAATTTGCTTTCGCAATGCTTAAGTTCGGCTTTGCTTGGCGATGTCTCCTATTAATATTCATATGCATACATACATATGTATACGTGTGTGCATGCATATGTATGTGTTTTGAATTTTGTGCAAGCGCGCTTCTGACGTAGACGCCAGCTCGGCTGTTGCTGTTGCTGTTGTGGCCGCTACTGCGGCCGCTGTCGGCGTTGCCGCATCGTTTTTTTAACGAAGTGACAATGAAATTTCATTCAAACACGTTTCACGCCTGCGAGCGGTCAGTCAAACGGATTGCGCCCGACGGATGCCCGAACCCCGACGCGCGCTCTATACTCAAAACAAAACAGCGAACAGCGAAATCAAAGCTGATCGCTTTTGAGATCATTTACCGTGCTAGCTGGCTGGCTGGCAGCAATGTAAATACAAATAAGCAGCTAAGCAGTTAATGCTCGACGGCTGCTGGCGAGAATAACTACTATGCTCGGCGCGAATTAGAGACAAGACTCGTTGAGGTATTGATTACACACGCGACGCATTTAAAATGAAAGTGCCCGCGCGCGACTCGAAATATTCGTTCAAATTGAAAATATTCAAATTACATAACGACAAGAAATCAACCACACACGCCTCGCTGGCTTCAACGGCCAATCCGCCAACACAAATGATCTCCACTAAGAAAAACTCATGGCGCGCTCCGTGGCGCGCCGCCATTGGAGTCGGTAAGAAAGCCAAATCCATCAGCAACTCCGGCAACTCCAACAACAACAACAATAATAGTAATAATAATAATAACGTAAGTGAGGGCAATTTGAAGTCATCGTCGACAGTCGATAATTGTTTAATTGAAACATGCAATCAGCCCAAAATGAATCCCGCCAAACACATCCCTAATATTGATGATTTAATGTGTAAGTAATCCGCCATCCAAAGTCGAAACGACATCAAGCATCTGATCCATATCAAAGCTCAATTTGTGTTTGTACCCAAAATTGATAAGAACGTGAGCAGATAACAGAGCAGAAGAAAAATCAATTTTCAATCAAGACAGCAAGAATGTCTTGTTAGAATAATAACTAATAAATGTGCAAGGCACATTTACTTTATAAATAAGGAAATCCGAGTTCTTTAAGAAATAGGACAAAAAACTAAACGTTTAGTTTATGTGCCACCGATTCGTTCAATATGGCAACCTTGCTTTCGTTAAGATGATAATAGAGAAATGAAAGCAGAGTTGTCTCACTCTCGCTCTCTGTGTCTGTTGCTCTCTCACGCAACGCTGGTAAAAGAAAGCTTCTGCTCTGCTCTCTTTAAGCAACCAGCTGATGATAGCGATTTAACGGTGAAAACGTATAGGAGTTTTACAAATTTTGTTCTGGGTTTGTTTATTAATTTTCATGTGTACATACACATAAATTTCTATGTATGTATATGTAAGTTAGTTAAATTGTGATTAGATAGCAAAGTGTGGTTGATTTTGTGACTCGCCGCCGCTTAGTGTAACCAATTCAGAGGCCAGCGGTCATTTTAGAAATTCTTAACTGTCGATAACCACAGAGAGTCTAAAGGGTAGATAAGCAGGCATCGATATCGCTCGCTCTCTCGCTCTCTCTCTCGCTCTCCCTCTCGCTCTTTCTGGCCGCTTTGAGCGTGTCGCACATGTTTCGCAGTTAGATTTGCCAATATTCATCTACTTATAATATATAATCTAGCAGTTGCCCCTCGAAGTTAATAACGTGTTGCTGCTGCTCACCCGTTAAAATTGAACAAAATGTTTTGGCTCTTAATGGACACGCGTTAGATATACCCATTACAAGCGTGAAACAGTGAATATTCGCTATTACAATTACCCTGGCGCAATGACAGAGACTCTGGATTTTACGTCGATCTTTGATCTCATCATTCAAAGCGGTACGTGCCCGACTCCAGAAAGCGCAAGAGAGCGAGAGAGTAACAGAAAGAGAGAGAGA